GATGCGGGGCAGCGGCGGCCCGGGGGATGGTCCCCGCCGCGGGCACGGTGAGTGCGGGCCGGGGCGGCGGGCGACAGCGCCCGCCCCAACCTGCCGGCGGCCCCGGGCCTCGGCGGAGGCTCGTACCGGGACTGCGGGGGGGACGGGAGGAACCCGCTTCGCCGCCCACTCCCCGGCAATAGTCGCGGGGCGGTGAGGGGCTTCGCGCAGCCCCCGGGCAAGTTCCGCCCGGGCGGCTCCCGGTGTRCCGAGCCCGACCCGGCGGCGGGAAGCGCTTGGGGACTCGGTGGGGCCGGGGTTCCCTGCCCGGGCGGGGAGAGGCGGCACCCTGCTGCGGGCGCCCGGGGCGCACGGGGACGGACTCTCCCGCCTCTTCCCTGGGTTCCCGCCCGTCCCGTTGGGCACGTCGGACAGGTGTGCGCCCGTTCTGTGGGCAGGCGGGAGGCACGGGGCGGGGGTACCCKGTGTCCCCCCGGCTCTGCTGTCCCTGAGTTGGGGCCGAGTTTGGTCTCTGCCGTGTGCCCCACGTGTCTGATCCCGGTCTTCCAAGGCTTTGCGGTGAGGGTGCCCGCTCCACATCACAGGTGGGGTGGATTTCTGACCCACATCACTTCTGCCAGGGTCAGCTCGGAGGGATGCAGGGCCTCTGCCTGTGCCCGCAGGTGCCCGAAGGAGTATCTGGGCACTCCTCCGCGCTTCCAGGTGGGACCCGCGGCTGCAGGGTTGGCGTGGTCRCTCCGTGAGCTGATACACATGCCGCGAGCCTGGGGCACCCGCGTCGGTGCACTTCGCGAGTGTGTGCTGCATCCCCCGGGGGCCTGGTGCGACCATGGGACCCCCACGCACAGCGCGGGGAGCGGGGAGCTCGCCAGGCTCTCCACGAGTGAGTGTGAGGTGGCTCGYTCAGAGATTGCACCAGCACGCTGTTGCTTAGCCCCGGGCGGGGGATACGTGTGGCGGGGAGGCGCGGGGGGAGGCAGGTGCTCACATGGATGGGCTGGGTTCCGATCCTGGCAAAAACCCGTCCTGTGCCTGTTAATCGCCCGGCAGGGCTCTGGCAGCCGTGGCAGGGGCAGATCCCAACCAGATTCCCCCGTACGGGACATGGGGGTCTGCTGTGGGGTGTGCAGGTCTGGCACCCCCGTGGGGTGCCCAGGTGCTTGGCTCAGCCCTGCCCGCGCTGGACGGAAGCAGATGCCGAGCGGGGCTTCGGGGCCAGCGTGGGCTGCGGTCCTGCGCGCTCGAGGAGCTGCCCCCGTGGACGGGGCCCCGAGTCYGAGGAGGCACTGGTTGTTCTCGTCCGTCGCTTCGGCTCCGGGGCTCCCGGTGGCGAAGGGAGGCTGCCCTCGTTCGGCGCCCCGCCGGCAGCGCTCCCGCTGCCGAGTCCGGTATCGTGCTGCCGCCGGACGGGAGAAGCCTGAACTGCATCGGCTGATGCGTCCCGTCCCCGTCCCCCTCCCGTCCCGCCGGGATGCTGGAGCCGAGGGGCCGTGGCGGGGCGGCCGGCCGAGGGAACGAGGACCCGGGAGTCCGTACCCCCCCACCAAGCGCGGAGACCCTCGCTTGGCCCCTGCGGCGGTGCCGGCCTGGGAAAACCATGACCTGGCGGCGGCGGCTGGCTTGGGGCCACGGGCCGCCACGGGAGCGAAGTGCAGCGTGGGCTGTGCTTGGCCAGGCTGTGGCGGCTGGCGATGCCGAGGGGGCCGGTGCGAGCCCTGCCGGCACCGGGAGCGCATCCCTCCTGATTCACGGCCCCTAGAGGGGGCACATGGGTCTGACAGCGCCTACTACAGCCCCTTGTGGCTGTGTGGCCAGTGCTGGGTGGCATCGGATTCAACAACGGGGAGACCATCCCCTGAGATGCTAGACGGACTGGAGGAAATTATTTTTCCTCCTGGTCCCAGCAGTGCCTAGGCATGTGCATTCGCCGTTTTTTTTTTTTGTTTGTTTGTTTGTTTTTGTGGGGTTTTTTTGTCAGGATTGCTCTTCTCAGCATGTCGTGTCCCAGTTTTGCCCTGGAAGCAATTGGGACATGCTGGGCTAAGTCATAGAGGGGATGGGAGAACTCCTGAATGCAGAATGTCACTAAACTTCAAGGAGACAGTCCAATCCTCAGAGATAGGATATGCAGCATAGATGGGCCAAGGAGGGTACAACCCCTTCTGGAATTATTTCTAAAACCCTTCAAAGCCAGGATATCCTAGCTTTGGACACTGGGGCATCCCTACACTGCAGAGGGGAACTGAGGAAGGAGTCAAACATTTGGCTGCAGACAGGAGTTGCCCCAGCAGCTTCTGGGGGACAGAAGACCATGGCAGACAGCCCTGAGACCATGCTGCTGCTTTGCTGGGACCATGCACAGCAGGGACATCCTCTCTGTGTGTCAGTGGTGTTGGGGTGAATGAGTACAGTGAGCCCAGCATGGTGCCCCACACCCTGCTGTGTCCCCACAGGACCTGCTTACCCATCCTGCCCCTTGCAGTCYCACTCATCCAGGCTGCCCTGGGGTTACGTGTCCCAGCTTGGTGCAGGCAGCAGGCTGGGGAGCCAGCRCAGGGCCAAGGGGTGGCTGCACCCAAGGACCCTGTGCTAATGGGTTTGGAGTTTCCAAGGTCAGGCTCCCACTGTGAGCAAGAAAAACATTCCCAGGGAAGGGCCATGGGAAAGGGCCCCCCTGCRCAACGCTCCCAGCCCCAGCCACTGCCTCACAGCCCAGCCTGGCATCGCAGGCCGTTCACACAAGGAGATGGCTGCRTTCCCCCTGAGGAGCAGTGCTGTACAAAGGCTGGGTTGCCCCAGCTGCCCAATCTCTTGGAAGGGGTGTGCAGTGTGGTGAGGATGCCTGGTTATTCCAGGAGAAAAGAAGGGTGGGGGTGTGACATGAATGGGGTGCAGGATGTGTTGTGAGGTTGTGGGGGGGAGGGAGGGGATTGCATGCTTGGCCAGGGCAGGGAAGGCATGTGCCAACTCCCAGCCAGCCAGCTCTATTTCCACCCTGGGCACTGACCTCAACATCTGCACTTGCAGCTAGCATGGACCAGCGACAGGGGCCACCAGAGTCAAGACCTGCAGGACCCGCCACGCACGCACAGCCCAAGGTGAGCCCAGGTTTGTCTGGCTGCGATGGCCAGGACTACATGACTGCACTCCCACCCATCCCAGCTCATGGAGCCTCATCCCTGGTGTGGGAACCCTGACCGGGACTGACCCTGCTGTGCTGTGATTTGTTGCAGGAGGGGACACTGTGGGGGTTCTTTGCCATCCTGTCACTGCTGGCTGGGCTGGCCACAGGCAGCCTGCGAACACCACACTGCAACGAGACGCTGGACGCGGCCCCCACGCCACGAGGCATGGCCACTGCCAGCCTGTCTGCAGAGGATGGYGTGGAGGTGCCAGTCGCCGCTGCCTGGAGCCAGCTGTACGGTGGGTGTTGGGACAGGACCCCCAGCCTGGGCACAGTAGCCCGGTGTGTGGGGCATGGGCAGGTTGGGAGCTGCTGTGGGGAGCCCCAGCCTATGTGGGGCCGTGGCTGCACTTCGGGGCTGGGCTGAGGGAATCTCAACACATGGGGCCCTGTGCTTCRTGTGGGAATGTGGCAGAGTCCTAGCGAGGAGAAGATGAGAAGATTCTTGGCTGGGCATGCACACACCTTCTCAGGCACCAGCCATTGCCACGGTGGGTGATCAGGAGGGATCTGTAGGTCACAGTGGGGACAGACAGGCTCAGCAGGAGGGTGATGGGTGCAGGATGGGTCCTGACAGCAGCATCTCCTCCRTGTGCAGGGGACAATGCGACGACAGGTGGCCCAGGCACCGCAGAGCTGGCRGAGGACCTGCTGCTGCGTGCTGAGCGCTCACCACCGAGCACCAACAAAGCCAAGAAGGGGGCACGGAAACCCTCACGGGGTACCCGTGGGCGCAACTGCCACATCCGCAACCTGATGGTGAAGGTGCGTGACCTGGGCCTGGGCTTCAACTCGGACGAAATTGTGCTCTTCAAGTACTGCAGCGGGTCCTGCCACCGGGCACGCAGCAACTACGACCTGACGCTGGGCAGCCTGCTGAGGCAGCAGCTCATCRCCCCGGGGCCACAGGAGCGGGTCCTCAGCCACCCCTGCTGCCGACCCACCCGCTATGAGGCTGTCTCCTTCATGGATGTGGAGAACACATGGCAGACAGTGGAGAAGCTCTCAGCAGCTGAGTGCAGCTGTATTGGCTGAGGAGGGGACCGCTGGCTTGGCCCCAGCTCGATACATGCCGACAGACTCCAGCTTGCCACATGCAGTGGCACTGTTGCTCAGAACAAGGGTCTGACAGAGGCTGCCTCCTCTGTTCTTATGTGGCCACAAAGAACCGAGGTGAGATGGAGTCATGACTGGGGTGTGGGTGGCCAAGCCCGCTCCTGCTCGGTGCCAAGCAGCTGGTGCCACACGGGGTCCTGCCCAGGTGCACCCCGGCTCAGCCCTGAGAGAGGAGCTGAAGAGAGTATGGACATCCCCACCACTGCCAAGGCTCTGCCAGCCCCATGTCCTTCAGCAGCACTCCTGCACCTGGGCTCTAGGGGCCAAGCATCACCCAAGCTTCASAGGGGGCAAAACCTCCCTGTCCCCTCGGGCACCCTGGGGTCAGTGGTGCAGGGAAGGAGTGTCCCTGAGGGCAGAGATGCAGTGGGGCCAATTTGCACCAGTGTGGAGTGGGGGGCCCGCACCTGGACCAGCAGCAGCCCCTGGTATTCAGCAGGGTGGTGGGTCACAGACACCCACGGAAACCCCCACCCCTGCCTGGTTCCCAGGRTGGTGGCAGGGTCCCCCCGCTGCTCCGTGGTGCTGTGGCACTAAACTATTTATTACTCTAAATTATTTATTTATTGTTCTCGAGCGGCAGCTCCTATTTATGACTTTGGGCCCCCGGGGGCCGGGTGTAATTTAACCCCAGCGCTGCAGTGAAGCCCTGGGCAGCRCCCTGTGCCCCCCGCACCCTTTTTCTATTATTTGTAAAATTTGAGGGATAAACTCTATTTTTGTACAGTCGCCTTTTCCTGTAGCAATAAAGCGATGGGCTGCGCGTCCAAMCCCTGCGTGTGCCCGTGATGGGAACGGGGATGGGGCTGCCCCTGAGGCGGCAGCGAGAGGGTGCGGAGCGGTGCCGCTCGCGGTTCCGCCGGCACTGCCCACCCCGCGCGTGGGGAGCGCTGCCGGTGCCCGGTGCCCGTGCCCGGTGCCCGTTCCCTGTGCCCGGCAGGGGACGCGCGTGGGCCGGGACTACCGCTCCCGGCGTGCGGCGCGGCGCTGCGGCAGGTCCTGGGCTGCCCGGCCGCGCCTGCGGGGCCGCGGGGAGAGGCGAGGCGGGGCCGGAGAGAAGCGGAGCGGGCCGCCGGGGCCGCTCGGGGAGTGCCGCGGGCGCCTCCCGGCCCGACCGCCGCCCCGAGCCGCGCCGCCCCGGTGCCGCCGCCCCCGTCGGGGCGGGGAGGCGGGTCCCGCCGCGATGCGGCTGCCCGTGCGCCGCCGCTGTCGCCCGCCCGCCGCCGCCTCCTGAGCGCCGCCGCAGCCATGGAGCGGAGGGCGGAGGCGCCGCCACCGCCGCCGCAGGGCCTCGACTTCACCGTGGAGAACGTGGAGAAGGTGAGCGAACCCCGCCGGCCCCCGCGCTGCCGTGGCGGGATGCTGATGGTGCCGCGGTGCTGCGGGGGATGCGGCTCGGGGAGCGGGGGGGCACCTGCTCGGCGGTGCCGGGCCCGGCGAGGGCGGCGGGCGGCGTCCCCCGTGCCTGCCCGCCCTGCCGCTACCGGGGGGTCCGGGCCATGGGGCTGGGGGGAGAGCCGCCGGAGCAGCCCGGGGAGGGAAAATGATGTGGCAGGAATGGGAGCAGAAGGGAGGGATTGTGTGTGTCTCCCACTGGCGTCCTCTAGGTCGCCAGCTGCAGCGCTGGGCAGGGAGAGCCCACGAGTCTGATCCTGGCTACTGAACGAGTTGCATCAATGTGAAGCGCGTTATCAGTGTCTCCATTCGCCAGAAAAGGAAGGGACTTTAGCTAGGTGCTGAGAGTTATTGGATATTACGGTTGGGAAAAGCGTTCAGAGGACAGATGACCCAGTGATGCCTTTCTAAACCAGGAATCCAGCCCCTTTGCTCCTGCTGATGCTCAAGGTCCTCCAAAGCATCTGCAGGGCAACAGGAGTGAAAGTGTGATTGCTGAAATCTGGGATCCAGGGAATGGCCACAGCAARCCAAGGCCTGCTGGCATCACACCGCTGCTGGGATGAGCCCTGAGCAGCTGATGTGTGACCTGGGGTTCATCCTGGAGACCCAGCAGTGAGCATCTGGGAGGGCAGCTGAGCAAAAACCTTCCCTTGGCCACCTTGCCCTTGGTGATGGGGGCAGGGCAGCAGAGGATGCATGCCTGAAGGGCAAACAGCAAGTGCATCACCCTTCCACTTGCCCTGTAGCCAGACATCCGACAGACATCCATAGCTTGGTCCTCAGACAGCTAGTGGGAATCCCAGTGTCCTCATTTTTCCTCTATAAGAATAGACTGAGATCCTTGCCAAAGCAATACTCATGGGTGTGCTGGTGGGCACATGGAAGTATGGAATCGTTTTGATTGGAAAGACAGACCTCTCAGATTGTCATGTCCCATGGTTGGCGCAGCCCTGCCAAGCCCACCACTAAACCATTTCCCMAAGCTTTTCACAGCCGTCCCTCCCCAGTAGGTTGCCTGGCCGCACAGGAGGTGCCCAGTCAGGGATGTCAGGTTTGTTACTGGGYGCTGGTTGCCTTTGTGGCTGCAGGTGAGACACAGCCCACCTTTTCCAGGGAGATGGAGGCAGAGCACAACCGGGGGGATTAACTGATGTCTGGAAAACGCTACATTCATGCAACCTTCTGCAGCTTAATCTGCATACATCCAAGGCTGCTGGATGATTTTGCCTCTGACTTCCTTTCTTTTCCTCAGACACAAACCGCTCCTTTGTTTGCACCAACAATGAGGTGCACACTTGCCTGGGAAGGGTGGGCAGTGCCAGGGTGGGGGGCACCCGGCACTGGCTGGGTGAAATGTGGCTGTGCTGAGAGGCAGATCATCCTTGCCAGGCTGCTCGGGATTTAGYCTCCCGATGCCTGGGAGGAGGCAGAGATGCCCTCTAGGATGCTTCATCTCCCCTCCCCCAGCCTGCCCGGCCTCTCCCGATTTCCGCAGGCTTTGCCATCTCTGTAGTGTCCTCTGAAGGTGCAGCTGTGGACTGCGATGGGCTCTGAGCTGCTGGTGGGGGGCAGCAGCATGGYCCCTGAACAGGGGAAGAAGCATGGGGTGGGATCAGAAGAAAAACCAGAGCTTCAGCAGCCCAGAGCCTTTCTGCATCTGTCTTTTCCAGGCAGGGCTGTGGGATGTTTCTTGTACAAAGTGAAGGAGAAATGGGCTTTGCTGGGGGCAGGGTTGGTGGGAGGCAAGTGGGGAGAGCCACTTTGTCAGAGGTGATGCTGGCAGATAAGTGATGCTTCTACTGATCTGGGCTCTTCCACCTGCCAGGTTTTGTGCATGGYTTTATTAATAATACTGAATACTGATTAAAGTCGGGGTTTGACTCCACTCTGAGTCAGTTAATGATAAGTGCTGGGGTTAGGAACAGCCTGTGGAGCTGGTTRTCTCTTAAATCAGAGGGCTGAAGCCTTTCCAGGTCCCCTGCAGTGGAAACCATTGTGTGTGGCCGTTGTAGCTAGGGCAGTCTGGTGAGACCATGCCTGTCRCACTCATCTGAGGGTTTTCATGGAGAGGATTCTTGTCAGTGGAAAATCCTTTTGTACTCCTACTGTAGTTATGCAGTGGGGTTTTGCAGGGCTCTGTGCAGCTAAAGAGGATCATTGCTGCATCTATGCATAACCAGTGCCAGAGAGAGACAGATCTCTCCAGCTGTGACCAGTGGTTTCAGGGAGGTAGGAAGGTGCAGATGCTGGAATCAGGGCCAGCTGACAGGTCTAAAAGSCTGTGGACAGGTGCCAGGTTCAGGTGCTGCACTTCAGGAACCATCTGAAAGTTTCTCCCTGTAATTTTTTGCTTCGTTTTTCCATAGGGAGCTCTCCCATGGCACAGGAAGGAATGGGGCTGTGTGGGGCTGAGCTGTTTTGGTACAGTTACTGTGTCAGCATCCCCCCAGTCCTAGCTGGGGGCTGCTTGTCTGCTTTTTGTTTTCTTCTGAGCCTGACCTAGATGCTGCTCTGACTTCAGCACAGCTAGAGCMGGCTGGTGTGGCCACACCATGTGGACCTGCTGGGAGTCCGGCAGCTCTGGGCTGGCRCTGCTTCCCCTGCACCTGCTGCTGAATGGGGCTCTGCTGCCGTGTTTGAAGAGCTTGGAGGGAAGGGAAGGCTGGGGAAGCCAAGGGCTTCAGGCTGTGAGGATGCTCAACCTTTTGTTGCCTAAATGGTGCAATCTGGTTTGTGACCTGCATGTGCTTTTGTTGTGCCCAGGAGCTGTCCCTGGTGTGACTGTGACTGGTGCTRGGGTGATGATGATGATGGATTGCAGATGTTCAGTCCCTGCTGCTCTGTCCATCTCAGAGGAGCAGTGTACAAGCAGGACTTGTGCCCTGCAATCCCTCAGTTCTGGGGTATAGCAGCTAATAGTGCAGTATTGGACAGGAGAGGAAGAGTGCGAGACCCTGCTCATGTGTTCTCAGTGCAGTTGAGTCTGCTTTGGCAGTACTGCCCTTCTTGAAATAAGAAAAAAAGGCAGTGCCATTCTTCCATGAATTTCCCAAGTGCCTGCTCTYGCCCTCTTTTTTTGTCTGATTCCTTCCAGGTCTTTCCTCCCTTGTCCTGCCTCTGATCCTCTGGGGTGTTTGTAATATTCGCTGACGTCTTTTCCCTAGCACATTAGCGGTCTGGCATCTCTGGGCCTTCCAGATTGCCGTGTGCCTCTCAGGAGATGCCTGATGAATGCACAGAGTCTCTCCGGCAGGATGGGTAGGCGGGGTGTCATGGAGCTGACATCCGGAGCCTACCGCAATGGGAGAGGGATGGCTTTGATCAGCGCTCCTCGGAGATGCYGAGCCTCGGGGATGTGGCAGCTGCTGGGGCTGCCTTCTACCCGGGAGGATGGGGAGGAGAAATCAAGTGCATCTGCTTTCTTTGGAAGATTATTGGCTGTCTTCAGAAACCTGATCAAGAGAATTACAAATACTCGAGGGTGGGGGAATGGCATCCTCTATCTGGCAGTGGATTGACCACTTACTCCTTAGAGGCAGCCTGTGTGTGTGTGTGAGATGTGGCAGCCACACTGGGCATGCCAAGCTGGGAGCTTTAGCAGGGGAGATTCTTGCAAAATTGAGGGAAGCAGGGAGTCGCCTTGTTTCATGTTTAAGCAAACCTTCCTGCAGAAGCAGATTCCAGCCAGAGCCAGACTTACTGAACACAACTCCGTCCTGTTGTGTGGTGGTGACAGGATGAGAGGGCAGCATGTTGTTGTCCAGTGCTTGTCAGAGCTCTGCAAGAGCCATCGCTGGAGTCTCATCTCAGCTCTGATGTTCTACGGAGGAGRAATGGATGGGATTGGTGCCTGGGCTCCGGCAGAGATTCCTCTCTCAAAGTGCTTGTGTACTCTATCATGGAAGTGTTGGGTAGAAACAAGGGATAGCGGGGGTGTTTGGCTCACCCTTGCAACACATCCTGGGCTCTGCGCTCCCAGGATTTCCCTCTCTGCTCACCCTTTGCTGGTTCAGGTCCCTGCCCACCCTTGCTGGGAGCACACACACATCCCACAGCCCCTGTCCCTGCTGGGGACCACCCTGTGCTCTGCAGAGGGCTGACRGCAGTGAAGCAGTGGGAGGGATGCCAAGGCTGCCAAGCTCTATCTGGGCTGCAGCCTCTTCTGGACATCTGRGGACTTGGTGTGGACCAGCTGGGCTCWAACAGGAGCTTCAGAGTGCAGCATYTTTTATTAGCAGAGGGGAGAAAAACCCTGTTCTTGAGGACTGCTGGCAAAATGTGGGTCCTTGAGCAGGAGCAGCACGCCTGGCGGCACACACTCRGCTTTATTTTGCATCCATTTGCTATCCTCGGCAGGCTGCCGCCTTCCCGTGCTGCTGGCTGCTCAGCCTGCCCCTYTGGGGCCGGGGGGGCCAGCTGCTGCAGGCAGGGGGAGGCAGGGATGATGTTCCCTTCGCTTGGCAGAGCCGGGGTAATGGCTGTGCTGCTGCAGGCCTGGAGCACTGGCGGYGCGAGCGCGTTCAAGTAGAAAGGACAGCGAGAGACTGCAGTGGGAGATATCCCCGGGGGTCCTGCTGGAAGGAGGCTGCTGGTTGCCGAGGAGATGTGGCCACCRCTGCCCCTGGCATGCCTTGGCTATGGGCACGCTATAAGGAGCAGAGCAGGAATGTATTGTGCAGCTTTCTGGTTCTCTGGCTGGGATGCAGATGCCAGTCAGGGCTGTACCTGCTGTCAGCTCTATGCTGAAGCAAACTGGCCCTCAGAGGGCAACTGTCTCCCCATGGACCCCCAAGAACAGCAGGCAGCATGCTCCTGTTCTGGGACCAGAGCCGTGTGTCTGAGGTTCCTCTTGTCACCCCATAATGGCATGGACTCAGCCTCTCTGCAGGGCACCCCATGTTAATGTATTTGTGCAGTGAGGGAGACAGCCTGCTGGCACTGCRCTCCCTGCAGAAGCTCTGAAGGGTGAGAGCTGGGGCATTCTGGGCTTGTAGCAGATGCTTTTCCTTTGTGATACYTGAGTGCAACCTAAGATCAGGTGCCTCTGCCTGGCTATAACTCTCCTTGGACTGCTGCCATTCCACCTCACAAAGGAGCCAGCATGGGATCTCTGACCTGTGTCTTTYGGGCAAGCTGCCCTGCACCAGGGCAGCTTACCTGAGGGGTTGATGTTGCTCCTGTGACTAAAGCCTGACTGAGGYGTTGGTCACAGCTCTTTAGAGCCAGGAAGAGCCATCATAATAAGCTTGAATTATATTCAGCCAAGAAGAGCTGATGTTGAAGAAGGCTCCTTCCCCGRCCAAAGGGCATAGCTGACAGCCAGGCTGTTTACCAGCTCTCACATTACAGGTCTAATTGCAGAGGAGGCAGGTCTGGTGTCAGCCACCCGTTCAAATTGGAATGCACAAAGCCTCCCTGTTAGATGTCACTACCCGATTTCATGCCTTTTGCTTCTCCCTCTTGGCACTAATGAGTTCCCCTTGTCATCTCCAGTGCTTCCTGATGGGCCTCAGGGTGCTGGCCAGAGTGGCCACGTTAAAGTCCAACAGCAGCCAGTGCTGGTGCCTGGCACGAGGGCAGTGTGTCCTTGCTGAGGAGGAGCGTGCTGGGTGTTCAGGTGTCCTTCTGCAGGGCACAGGGTCTTGCAGCCCCCCTGTCCCACGCTCTCAGCAGAGGATTGTACTCAGTTGATGTGCATGGTAGGCCAGGGAGAGAGCCCAGTCTGCTCCAGGGGTGTCTTCTGCTCCTTTGAGCTGGGTTCAGATGGTCCCAGTGTTTATGCCCAGCCTTGGAGGTCCTCTGGGAGGGTCTCCCATATTGTGTAGAGTACTGGATGGGGTGTACTGTTGGTAGCCCTGGGGCACGTGCTGCCTTTTCTTTCCACCTGGTGTCTGTCCATGCTTTTTTCAGGAGCCACAATAACTGGTCCCCTTCCCAGGCAGGGAGCTTGCAAAAGGGGGCTGAGATAGTCAGCAGTTGCTTTTTTTCCAGAATATTCTTTTGACCTCCAACAGCTTGTAGCATGAGTCTTCAGTATTGACTTTGCTTCCATCCTCTGAATTTCTTTGTGTAGTTGATAGGCTTCTTCATCTTTCCACTCACCTTCTCTCCCTGAGGGGCTGAGCAGTGGAGGCTCCGGCATGTCCTTGGGGACCTTTGCTGGAAGCCTCCCCAGAGACTCCCTGCAGGAGGAGCAGGGCTCCRAGATGGTGTTGCTAGGTGGATTCCTCTCCAGAGAGCTCACTGGTARCGGTGGGGACTGCACACACGGCAGAATGTGAGGGATGCAGGCAAAGTGCTGGGATGGTGGTGGTGGGAAAGCTGTCCACGTGTCAGGAAAGGTGGCCCAGCCTGGGAAGACGTCTCTCAACCCAATTGCTCACTGTTCCTCTAATGCAGGGGTAGTGACATCTCCCCAGCAAGTGTTGAGGGGAGCAGCTCTGGAAGTGCTCCATCTTTGCCATTGTTACAATGCAGCAGCTGGGATTTTTCAGCACAGCCTGTGCTGGTGTCTCTGCTGGGGCTGCATGCAGTATCTGTGTGCTGAAGATGTGTGCAGTATCTGTGTGTGCTGGMGATGTGTGCAGGGTTGGTACCTGCTTGCACCTCAGCCTCATGCCGAGCTCCTCCTGGCTGCCTTCTCCTCTCCATGGAGTCGGATGATCACATGAAAGCCCCAGAGGCTGCTGGCTTGAGGCAGACTCTGTTGGCAGGATCAGGCCTTAGCCAGCAGCACCGGCAGCCMCAGCCAGGTGGAGGATGAACCATCAGCTGCTTCCCAGCAGGCAGACAGCATTTGCCAGCCTCTGCTCTGCTGCCCTGCCATGATCCCAGTCACCTGCRGTGCTGTGCAAGGCTTGCCCTGCATGTACAAYGCTCCCRGGGCTTGCTGTGTGTGCCTGGRGTGTGCACAGTGCCGTGCTTTGCCTGGCAGTTTCCCTGCTGTGGGACTGGCATGCAGCAGCTCTGTGGCCAGCTGGGGAGCTTGTGGGTCAGAAACCCAACGCTGTGGGCCAGCTCCATCCTGCACACGTGGTGAGGTCTGTGTTTTGCAAATCTCGTGCTGGGTTAGAGGTTAGGGTCCTGTGTACCCATGGTGCCTTGTAATATATGATGCATAGGGATTATTTTCTCCCCACAATTTTCTAAGTGGTAGCACTATTCAAAATAGAAGAAGTAAATTCATTATAAAGTGCGTGGAGGTGTAAAAATAGAGTCTGGGAAGAGGTGCAGAAGGATCCTTGGCTAGGGAGCACAGAGGGCACCGCTCTTTGCACCTTGCGACTGTGCCCAGCAAGCAGRGAGGGGAAAGAGTGGGCTGTCACCATTCTGGGAATTTCCAGTGAAATTTATTTGGAAGAAAAATAAGCAGCAAGCTCCRATGGGAGCAAGTAAGAGACCGAGCCGGTAATGGTTGGGAGCTCCAGCTTCAGCCCTGCTGCAGGATGACTCAGTCCTTAGCACAAGAGCAGGGGTAGGAGCCAGGTTCCTACCCCCAGGAGTGGCTGTGCTTTTAGCACATCTGCAGCTGCTRCTCTGTAGTGAAGTAAATTGCTGCTTTGCTTGGAGGAGATGACAGCTTTTACCCTCTGGCCCAGCAGCTGAATGATGCTTCCTGCATCCAAGTCCAAGATAACTGGAAACAGAGGTTTGGCTAGCTACTGAGAGAGGTCATAGGCTCCTCTTGGCTGCTCTGTCRGGACAGATTTCTCTCCCCATGTCCTGCTTATCTAGGGTTAACCTTTTCTGTGTCAGGATACATCTTTTAGTGGGTCAGACGCTGTCCCTCTGCAGCCCATGTCGGCTGACTCCGTCTCCTACAACGTACTTCATAACCTCTTTCTTTCAAAGAGGTTATCCTCATTTTCCCCTGATACAAATCTTGAACAGCAGTGCTTCAAATTATGGCCCAGGCAATGCAAACTCTACCGTACTGTCCCGCTCTTTGGTCTCACACTGGGAAGAAGCAGGAGGGAGGCACAAGTGCTTGCTTGGAAAGTTGTTTCCATGCCCCAAGCTGCCAGCTCTGTATGCTTAAAAATAGGGTTCAGCTCCACTCCTGGGTACAAGAAGCGCAAGAATTTAATAGAGCWGTTTAGAGGGGGAGGGGGAGGCTATTTGAGACCTGGAGTAGGATGGAGGCACAAAAAAAATCCTCTGCACCTGCTGGAATCATCCTGTGATTTGCTGGTGGGGTGCGATGGGTGCCTGATTGCCCGACAGATGCCATGGATTTTCCTTGCTCCTGGCATGTGTAGTCAGCAATTTGAAATTGAAACATGCTGTGCCAGGCAGAAATCCTCACTGCTGGAAGATGGAGTTCARGCAAGGGGTAGTTATTCTTCCCCTCCTTGTGCGAGGACATCACTGGTTGCTGGCTGTACCCAATCAGGATAAGTATCTAATTAAGGCTGGGCTTCATATCTATAATATTCCTCTGCAAATAAAGCCTTGTRGCCTGTGTGAAGGTGTTCATGTGGATCTGGCAGTAACTAGACCTCACAAAACTGCAGGAGCAAGGTAAGTGATATTTCCCTTCTCCTTATGGAGAGATGGACTGAACAGCCCTGAGCTTACAGGAGAYGGTGGCAGAGGCAGGGTTGAATGGCAGCTCTCTTGGCTCAGCTATAACTGAGTGGGTTTGGGAATATTTTGAAGGGACTTTGTGGAGAGATTAAACCCTGAATTTAGTGACTGTGGGTTTTCAGGACTCATAAGACAGACAAAGCAACTCTTGCAGCAACTCTTGCATTACATGGGCTCACAGAAGCAAACTTTGGACCACAGCACCTTCTAGAGAGCAGGTGTGGGGAGAAGGTGGAAGTGCTGGTCAGCCATGTTCCTTACGGCCCTCATGTGGCAGAGGGTCCTGCCCCCACCCCAGTGATGGCAGATCAGCAGGGAAGCAAGCAGATTCAGCATGAGCGAAGGTCAAGATGGGAAATGACTAACGAAATTTCTAGAGTGAAGCATGAGAGGAGGGGAAGGGTGCTTTGCAGGTCCTCTCCTGCTGCCAGATCACTCTCGCTTCACTGAGAATGGGAAGAGGGAGGCCAGCTAACACGGGCTGCCCTGGGGAGGGGGGCTGGCTGTGCAGAGCAGCCTGGGCACTGGGCTCCATCCCAGTGAATTTTCCTGGTAAGCCTTTCCCAGGCAGGACAGGCTGCAGTGGTGTTCCTCAGCTGCTCTAGGGTGCTTCCATTTCTCTTCCAGGCTCTCCATCAGCTGTATTATGACCCRAACATCGAGAACAAGAACTTGGCTCAGAAATGGCTGATGCAGGCACAGGTGTCCCCCCAGGCATGGCACTTCAGCTGGCTGCTTCTCCACATGGACAAGGTGCCTGAGATCCAGTACTTCGGTGCCAGTGCTCTCCACATTAAAATCTCCCGTTACTGGAATGACATCCCGGCTGACCAGTATGAGAGCCTCAAGTCGCAGCTCTTCACCCACATCACGCGCTTYGCCAGCGGCTCCAAGATCGTGCTGACCCGGCTGTGCGTGGCGCTGGCCTCCCTGGCRCTCAGCATGATGCCGGAGGCCTGGCCCTGCGCTGTGGCAGACATGGTGCGCATGTTCCAGGCGGAGGACTCCAACGTGGACGGGCGGGCGCGGTGCCTGGCGCTGCTGGAGCTGCTGACGGTGCTGCCGGAGGAGTTYCAGACCAGCCGCCTCCCGCAGTACCGCAAGGGCCAGGTGCGCAGCGTCCTGGCGCAGGAATGCGGCTCTGTCTTCCCTTTGCTGGAGCAGCTGCTGCAGCAGCAGGACTCCCCGGGTTTCATCAAGCAGAAGGTGTTGAAGTGCTTCTCCAGCTGGGTTCAGCTGGAGATCCCGCTGATGGACTGCGAGAACCTCATCCAGGCAGCTTTCACCTCTCTGCAGGACCCAGAGCTCTTCGACACAGCAGTGGAAGCTGTGGTCAATGCCATTTCCCAGCCCGATGCCCAAAGGTAAGGGCAGTGTCTCCTGTGTGCTACAGGGTGGTGCTCCTGCACATCAGTGGGGAAACAGGATGGGAAGGAAAAATCTCATGCTTTTTTGTAGCTATCGTTGGTCCTGAAGATAATGGTGACAGGGTCTGGAAGTGGGCTGATGTCCAAAGCAGTTGAAGGCTGTTGGTTTCTCATGGTTGGTCCTGGAAGGCTTTGCAGTATGGTTGAGTTGTAGGGACCRCATAATCTTGGGCAGCTGCAGCCCATGTCCACCCTGGCCTCTCAAGCAGACGGGGATGCATGCTTCTGGCTCCTGTGTGAGAGCCTGCAGAAGCCAACCAGACAGCAGGAGTTCAGAGACCTTCCTCTGCCTTGTGCTGCTGGTCCAGCCAAGGAGCTGATTCAATGCAGAGATAATAAAACCAGATATGTAGTTTTTTTCCCTCCTCCTGGCTGCAGCAGCTTGTGCCAGCCAAGAACTCGTCCTTTGAGTTCTGCCCCTGGAGCTGCTGAGCTGGGTCTTGGGCTGGGCAGGTCCTGCTGGGGCTGCGCTGTGGAGCTCTGAGCTTGTCTGCTTGGCTGCATTGCCTGAGCTGCTGTCAGCTCTCGGGAGCAGTGCCTGCAGAAGGGACAGTACATCTCTGGTTCCTGTGGCCACATCCCTTCCTGGCTGCTTAGCAACCTTCCCCGAAGAGGAGGATTTCCTTGAAGGCTGGGCTGAGCTGCTGCCACTGTGCATCCCTGTGCATCGCTGCACATCGCGCAGGCTCCGACCCTCTGCAGCGGTGACAGCGATGCTGCCACTGCAGTTGTGAGCCCTGGTCCTGCCCTTGGTTAAGGGCAGGGCAGCCTGCACGTTCCCCAGCCCTAGGGCAGCCTGGGGCTGTTCTTTTTGATGACGAGTTGCATCTGCGGACTGCAGAGTCCTTGTGCACAAAGGGACCCGTCAGGATTTTAATGTGTTACTAGATTGGGGGAGGGTTTGTCTCATTTGCTAGCCTTCAGAAGGCACCACAAGCTGTCTTTTCTTGTGCCTGGCAAAAGCTGTGGACCAACACAAGCCCATGTAGCAGGTCTGGTGCAGAAAGTGAGAAGGTGTGAGAAGGTCACCTGCAGTTCTGAAATGCTGGACTCTCTCTTCCTGCTTYCCRTTTCCCTTGAGTCTCAGAAGTCCCCTGACTGTGATTCCATACCTGTGTGCAGGATCCTGGCCCTGCGGTGCTGGTCTTTGGTTGTATTAAAAGGCTGAGCTTTCTGTTGAGTTTTCAAAGTGAATTGTGATGAGAAGTGTGACTGACTGGGGGGTTTCCTCCCAGCTTCTGTGCTGACCCTGCCACGCAGTTTTGGGCCCCATTCAGACCTGCCATCCTGGCTTCTCCCTTACAGAGTCTTCAGTACTTGTTCTCCATCCTTTTTCCGGGAGGCATCGTCAGCCGTGCAGAGCACCCTCCTGTCTGTAGGCGTGCAGGCAGTGTTCAGGACAGGGCAGGCAGCTGGCCTGAAAGGCTACCCAGTGTGTGAGCCTGRTGCAGCCCCTGCCCCGGGGTGTGGGGACAGCGGTGGCATTGTCACAGGGATGCCCTGCCAGGCGGCGTGTGGTGTCGGCTGCTTCCCAGCCCTGGTGGGCGCTCTGCTCCCCTTTGTTTGTTGTGTCCACTGTCCTGTGTTCTTCCTYCTGCTTCCCCTGGTGCCAGCTGTCCCACTCCTCTGGCTTTGTCACTCTGCCAAAGTGGATCCAGCTCTTTTCCAGAGCCCCCAGGGAGTCTTCTGACCTTTCTGTCTCTTATCTTGATAGTCTGGRAGATCCCTGCTGCTTTTCAGCTGCGCTCTTCCTCCATGATCYTTTGTTTCCACAGGGCCCTTGGCTGCAGGCTCTGAGCATCCTTGGCTCTGGGCTTCTGGCATGGTCCTCTCCAGAACTTATTAAGGCATTGCTCCATAAGAGGGTYAGTCTTGGGGCTCACCACTTTGCCSTGGGTTCTCTGGGTGTTCTGGTCCCTGTGTCCTTCCCCCCTTGCTTCCTCCCAGCCGTCTGCACTGACATTGCTGCTGAGGTGATCATTCAGGTATGCTTCTGCCACCAGCAGAAGGCTCAGTGGCTCATGAACTCGGCTTCTGACACTGAGGGTTAAGCAGCCTGTGGGTCATTTTTCCAGGGGAGCACCACCTTGCAAGGCAGCTCTCTGCTGCAGCACCTTGTCCAGCTGGAGAAGGGTGGGTGTGACTCCATGGGTAAGGAGCACGTGGCCCTGGTGCTGCCTCACTCTTGGGTAAGTCGCTTGTGCCAGCAGCTCCCATTTCCCTGCTTGCGAGGAGCAGCGGGAGGTTTCCTGCCTCTGAGGTGTTACTAGAGATGATGCACTAGAGATGTGTAGGTGCAAAGTGTTTGATCTCTGTACCTGCCAGGTGGGTGGGAGCCCTGTGCACCCAGAGAAGGGGGTATGATGGGTGTTGCTGGAGTTTAGATGCTGCTCCTCTGTTAGGATATGACATTCCTGAGAAGAAGCCTTGGTGGCTGGGCCAGGAGCTGGCACTGGAGCATCTCTGACCACACCTCTGCTCTCAAAGGTGGTGGGAAGCTCCTGAGTTGTGGGAGGGGAGGAGTGGAGATACTATTGCATCTCATTTTCAGAGGAGAGGCTTGGGCTGTATTTTCCGTCTCATTTGAGGATTATCCCCTCAGCTAAGTGGGTCAGAGAGCTTGGCAGCACGTGCTGCAGGGGGAGAGCTGGCGTGTGACACTTAGCCATGCTCCTGGAGTGCAGTGGGTAGTGTCAGAGTGGGGTAGAGAGCTCCATGTGTATGCCCATGGTGGGAGTTACAGAGCACGGATGTTGAACACTTGAGTCTCCTCTCTGAAAGCAGCAGGGTGTTGCTGCAGTGGTGGAGCTGGCAGCATTGCAGGTGTCCATATGGGATTGCCTGGTGTACAGCCCATCTCTTTCTGGTCTTGGCAACTGCTGCTGAGTTTTTGAAGAGGAATTTCCCTTGAAAAGTTTTCCTAGAGCTTCATTAGAAACAGGTTTTCAATATAAGATTGTGTTATTATCTCATCAAGATGTGGTTCAGATTTTGGATCAGGAAGGATGAGATTGGCCCATATGCCCATATCTCCCCTCTGCAGGTKGTCCTCCACACTGGTATGGTTTGGGGAGGGCTGTGGGAAGAGCAGAAGGAAGTGTTGGTCCCACATAGGGAGCTGCAAATGCTGTGGTTTACTGGGTTTTGAGAAGGGACTGGACAAACTCATAAAAGCAAAATTTGCTCAGCTCCTAAATACCAGGGTAGTAAATCTTGCTCAGGAAGGCTAAGACAAATCTCTGCAGGGAACTACATGGGCAAGAGTCGCCATGTAGCTGCMACGTTCTTGTGCACTTTCACAGGCATTCACAGTTTTTGGTTGCTGGAAACAAGCTGCTCAGCTGAGCATCCAAGGGCTCACCTGAGCCAGAATGGTTTTGTGTTCYTCTGCCTGACAGTGGTGCTGGGGGTGGGAAGTGATGGCTAGCAGCAGGGCCAGCAAGTGCAGTGTCTGCCTCCTGGGACAAGCGCTGCACATGCTCAGGGATGTGGCATCAGCTTGTCCCTTGGGCTGGAAAGCAGCACTGAGCAGGTGGAGTGACCTGGGGCTCCATGCTCCTGGATATGGAAGAGAGCAGCTCAGCTCTGGCTGATTTGACCGTGGATCTTGGGTGACTGGTTAAAACAACTTATCTAGAACAAACATTTCTCTTCTGGTGGGGAACCCTTGCATCCAAGATGCCCTTATGTCTACAGAACAGTTTGCAGAGCAAGGTGATKCTCATGACACATGGTTCAGCTAACATTTTTTAGAAGTCTTCAATAACATGGGATTGCAGTATGGAAGCAAATGTGGGTGGTTGTCTCTGTTGGCTGTGCAGGAATTTCAGGGATCAGTTCAGGTCCAGGCACAGTGAATATTTCAAGGTAACCAGCAGAAGCAGGATCCTTGTCAGAAAAGACATAAAAATCATAAAGCCCTACAAACATTCCCAGGGTAATGTGAGCCCAGTGCTGCGGAGGAGAGATGGCTTTGCCTTCCACTGAAGCAGTGGAAGGTTCCCTGTGCCTTTTTTGTCTGGGCACTGCCCTGGCTCCCTTGGGCCTACCCTGCACGCAGCATTGGTTCCATGGGAGAAAAGCTGTTGAATTTCCAAATTGTGCATCATCACAATGCTCCCATGCTGCCACATACATCACTCACAGGGCATCAAGAGGCTTGAAAATTTTTGAGGTTTGTGTAAAGATACCTCCCTTTGCTGTGGGATTTTCTTGGGGGGAGAGGGCGAGGGGCRGTGACCCCCAGTAGCACAGAAGGAATGCTGGAACGGCTGCTGGGATTGTAGACACTGTTTCCTCTGTCTTCTCTTGCTGGCCCAGGGAGAAAGCTGCCACCACCAGCACAACTCTGTCCCTGCACTTGTGCACCAGTGGCTTTGTCCTCTCCTAAATCATCCATAGCAAAAGCCACCCTGCCACTCTGGGGTGGATGTGTGGCTGTCCTGGTGCCAGCACTCATGTCTCTTCCCCAGGGTGGGCACAGGAGAGCTGGCATCGTGTGCCTCCCATTCCAGGCATCCTTAGCCCCACACCTGCATGTAGGGGGYGGGCAGAGAGCGCAGGCTGCGGCTGCAGATAACACGCCTGGGCGGGCAGGGAAATGGCAGGGAAAAGGCAGGCTGCTCATCAGCCTCCAGCACGGCCTCTCTCCGGGGGCCCTGGGCTGCCTTTCACCTTGGYTGCCTCCTTCTCGTTGCCTTGGTTACCATCCCTTACAGGCAGCGGAGGGGAGGTTGATGTGCGGGATGGGATGTGGGAGAGCTGAGCTGYAGCAGCCCGGGAAGGTGGGGGCCAAGGGATGTGCCAGGGGCCAGCATTCTCCCTGGCTGGGAGTCCCCAGCRGTGGCTGCCCAGTTCATCCCAAACAGGGCACACAGTGTGGATGTGCTCGAGCTGGAGACTCGCAGTTTCCCACTGGCAGCTTGGAGTGCCTCTGTGCAGAGCTGGGCACTGTGAGCGCGGTGGGAAGAGCCGCAGGTCTGCCCTCGCCTTCCATCGATGTGCTGTGCGCAGGCACAGCTCGCTCTGAGCTGGCTGTGGCAGTGGCACAGGTCACTGTGGGGGTGCTGGCAGCCCTYCTGGCAGGTGTGGGTGGGCACAGGCAGGGCTGCCAGCACCGTGCTGCAGTGGAGCATTTGCACAGAGGTGATGGCCACTAGCTCAGCACTTCGCCTGCAGAGGCTCTGCTGCAGCAGTGCTCCGGGCTTCAGCTTTTGTCCCAATGCTACAGGCTGCAAGGAGAGTTTGTGTGAGCAGTGAAGGCTCCTGCATGAAGGCACAAATCAGCCTTCCATAGGGAAAGCTGTGCAGGAGCCCTCRGAGAGCATCAGGAGGGATGGATGGCGTGGCAGCCCATGCCAGGGAGGTGGTGCCTGGCACTGATTCAGGCTGTGCTTGCAGGTACGTGAACACCCTCCTCAAACTCATCCCGCCTGTGCTGGGGCTCCAAGAGCAGCTGCGCCAGGCAGTCCAGAGCGGGGACATGGAGACATCACATGGAATCTGCCGCATCGCTGTGGCCTTGGGGGAGAACCATTCCCGGTGAGAACCATTCCGAGGGAGTGAGCCTGGAGCAGCCTGCTGTTCCTCACATGCTGCTTTGTCCAGGGCCTGTCCTGCACAGTGACATGTGTCAGGACAGAGGAGCTGGGCTCACAGCAGAGGTGCCACTCTGACCATGCTCTCTGCTTCCCAGGGCCCTCCTGGACCAGGTGGAGCACTGGCAGAGTTTCCTGGCCCTGGTTAACATGATCATGTTCTGCACTGGCATCCCTGGACACTACCCCGTCAACGAAACCACCAGCTCCTTGACRCTCACCTTCTGGTACACGCTGCAGGTCAGTGGCCATTGTGGACAGCCTGCATGGACCCTGCCCTCCAGGCATGGCCAGAGGCACCAGTTCTTGGGGTCTGGGGTCTGGCCTGGCTTTTGGGGTCTGACCTGGCTTTAACTGGTCCCAGGGATTTCCGACATCCCCACTCCTTGCCCTGTGCTTGCAGCTATGGCAGGGCACATGCCTAGGAAATGCTGGCCCTGTGGCTGACTTTTTCTGCCACCAGTCTTCCTTGGAAGTGTGAGCCATCCTTTARGGGCCTCATTAAGAAAACTAATTAAAACTTTGTGTTAATTATTTTCTTGCCAGCAGCAGACCTGGTTGTTTRGCTCCTTGCTGCATGCCTGCAGCAGGCAGGAACGAGAGCATGGCCCTGGTGGCTGCCCAGGGTGGGGTCCGTGTCACAGGGTCAGTGTTCCCTGGATTGGTGGAGCAGCCCTGCCACACTGTGCTCTATTTTTAGCTCCTGTTCATCCCTCAGTTCCATTCCTCCACAATCCAGTGTGGTGTGGCTGAGTGTGGGAAGGGAGGGGGATGAACTCAGTGCTGTGCCGGCAGCTCCTCCGCAATGCGAGGCCAGGCTCGGGCTCCCACCACCTCTTGCTCCTTCTCCAGATGTGTCTGAGGTTACAGATGCAGGAGAGCGCTGTGCTCAGGCATCTCTCTCACAGCAGTCTGAGGTACGCATGCTCCTGCTGTAGGTGTGCTCCCAAGGATGGAACATGGCAGGACACTGCTATCCCCTATAATAATGCTGTCTGAGGGTCCACCCAGCTTCTGGGGCTTCTGGCATCTTGCCTCCAGATAACGCTGCCACTGCAGAAGGGCCCAGCATCAGTTGGATCTCAGGGAGCTGGAAATGCAGCCTTCAGGGTGTGCCAGGTCCCACTACCAGCCCAGCCTTGGGAGATATGCCTGAGTCCCCTGTGCAACAGGCACATTGACTCCGTTTTCCTTTCCCTGCAACACCTGATGTACTTATTGCTCCTCCTGCCTCCAGGACGATATCCTCTCCTTTGAGCCCGACAAGCAGGCGGTGTACCAGCAGGTCTACAGGCCTGTCTACTTCCAGCTGGTGGATGTGCTGCTGCACAAAGCCCAGTTCCCCTCCGATGARGAGTACGGCTTTTGGTCTTCGGATGAGAAGGAGCAGTTTCGGATATACAGGTACAAGTGGGMGGTTTGGATTTGCTTGTCAGGCAGGTGATGATGCAGGGGCAGCATTCTGCCATCCTGGGGACTGAGTGCTGTAAGATGAGCCAAGGAGGGACACACAGGAGATTCCTTCCATCAAGAGCTGTTCTAGCTGTGGTGGTAATGTGAAAATGAGCTGGTGTTTTGGCACAGCACCAGTTACTTGGCCCAAGAGGCYGTGGGATCACTGCATTGGTTGGGGCAGAGTGCTTGTAGAGCAATGCCTGCAGCGTACATGACAGCAGGAGGGAAAGTGATGTGTCCACGCACGGAGCTCTCTGCACGGGATGGGGACAGCATTTGGAGACCCCCATGTTCTCTGCAGGGTGGACATTTCTGACACACTGATGTATGTGTATGAGATGCTGGGYGCTGAGCTCCTGAGCAGCCTCTATGACAAACTGGGACGTCTCCTGACCAACACAGAGCAGCCGTCCACGTGGCAGGTGAGTGAGGGGACCTGAGTGGCAGGCTGACGGCTACCAGCCATCAGGGACTTGAAAGCAAAGGGGCATGACAGAGGTGAGGAGTGTGAGCACCTTGCCAGCACACATTCAGGCTCTCTGGGGCCTGCTGTGGAGAAGAATAGGTCCTCTACCTCCCTGTCCTTAGTACTGCCCAGGGATCAGCCTCTTCAGCTACTGTAGGAGTGCTGAGCTGGTGCCTGGAGCTGGGGCGGGGTTGGGCATCAAKGGTCAGTGCGTGGCTCTGACAGTGCCTCTCCCACCCTGGCAGCACACAGAGGCCTTGCTCTATGGCTTCCAGTCCATTGCTGAGACCATCGATGTGAACTACTCCGATGTGGTGCCGGGACTGATCGGCCTCATTCCCCGGATCAGCATCAGCAACGTGCAGCTTGCTGACACCGTCATGTTCACGATCGGTGAGCGGGCTGGGCTGGGCAGGGAAGGCCCCCTGAGACCACACCTGCCCAGTAATACCAATGGTGAAAAGCAAAGCTGGGCATCATGGGATGTAGGGAGCAAGAACCTGCAGTGCAGTCCTGCAGTCTGATCCCGTCTCTGTATGCAGGGTCCCTGTCCGARTGGCTGGCTGATCACCCTGTCATGATTAACAACGTGTTGCCACTGGTGCTCCAAGCCTTGGGCAACCCTGAGCTCTCCATCTCCAGCGTGTCCACCCTGAAAAAGATCTGCCGGGAGTGCAAGTATGACCTGCCGCCTTACGCTGCCAACATTGTCGCTGTGTCACAGGTAGGAGCTGGATGCAGGTGGATGTGTGGTGGTGACCTGGGACGTGCTCTGTGCACACCCTTTCCTTTGCAAGGATCAGGGCAGAGGGACACAAAGAAGCAGCTCAGGGCATCTTGCTTGGCACAGGAGACTTGTCTGTTTTACTCACAGGCCAATAAACCCATGTGGCAAGCCCTGTGTCCTGCTATGAGTACAGAAATGGCAGCCAGTGACAGACATGACTGCCAAGGAGTCTGCTGGGGTTGCACTTGGGTGTCTGTCCTTTCCCCAGGGTTTTGTTTRCCTTGTTGGGAGCAGCATCCTGCCAGCTGTGCACCTGCCAGGCTGCTARTGCCACTGCTGGGCATCTTGGGGGGCAGGCATGCTGGTGATCAAGCCTCTCCTTGGACACTGAGCTGACCCCTGCAGCTTGTCCCATCCTCCTTCTTGGCTCTCAAGATTTGGGGCAGATGGATCTCAAGAGTCCCGAGGTGCTAGAAGAAGGGCTGGACTTAGGAAAGCTGCCAGGATGTGCATGGGAGCAGAGWGATGAAGGGCTCTAAATGCATCTCTGCTTTTAGAGCCTGGGGAACACTGTCACTGGAATAAAAAAAAATCCTGGCTGAGGCTGACTCCTTGAGCCATCCTGCTGCAGAGCCTGTCCAAGCCAGGAGCTCCCCTTGCTGGGTGGCTGAGTGGGCTGGCTCAGGGGACAAGAATTTTACTCCTTGCCTGTGGCAGGTTGTGGGGAGCACACAATGTTTGTCTGTGCCTACCCTGGTGTTAGCTGTCTTGACCTCCTGTGTCAGCCCTACCTCCTGTTGTCAGTCCTGCCTCCTGGAAGGGAAGGCCCTTTCTGCAGCACTCACCCTCCTCTTTTTCTCTTGCTTTCCCTTTGACAGGAGGTGTTGATGAAGCAGATTCACAAGGTAAGAGAGGCTGACTCACAGCTCTGCTGGTTCTGCCTGTCCCCCATGCCCCCCTTAGTCATGCTCACTRAAGACAGGAGGCTGTCCCTAGAGGAGAGCTCAGCACTGCATCCATGGTGTGCAGGACCAGGAGAACCTGCTGGCTGCTTCTAACTGCACTGCTGGGCTTCACTTCACCCACATGGGCTGGGCTTGTGCTGGGAGGGTGTGTCACCTAGAGAAAGAGGAGGAGGAGGCCTAACTCTAGCAGTTCCCAGTCTCTCCAAACCCAAAGATACCAAGATGAAAGGCATGTTTTAAGAGGGAAAAAAAGGAGATAAGTGTAGGAACTGAGCCCCAGCCCTGACTATGACTGGGATGGGGTGGCTGAGACAGGCTGTGCAAAGGATGGTGTGTCAAGGTGGGGTGAGTGATGCCCACATGGAGATCTCTGGACACCAACTGGTCTTCCTTGGCAGATGCTGGGAAGAGGCCAGGTGCTGAAGYCCAAGCTCCCGTTCCCTGGGAACATAAGCTTTTAGAGAGCTGTTCCCCTGTCCCACGGTGAAATGCACCTAGAGGGATCCAGACAGAGCAGCTCAGGAGCTGCAGCAYGCCCAGCTGGGACCCTGGCAGCTGTCAGAGCACGAGCTGCCAGCTGGACAGTGACTGTCCTGTTGTGTCTTCTCTGTCCCAGACGAGCCAGTGCATGTGGCTGATGCAGGCTCTTGGTTTCCTGCTTTCTGCACTGCAAGTGGAGGAGATCCTGAAGAACCTGCACTCCCTGATCACCCCCTACATCCAGCAGCTGGAAAAGCTGGCTGATGAAACGGTGAGTGCCTGCATGCTGCCTCCATGCACAAGTGGTTTCTCCTGCTGGCTGTAGCCCTGGGGCTGCTGTGCTGAAGCAGCACTCGTAAACATGGGCTCATGGGAAATTGGAGGGAACCCCTCTCTGGCACTTTGCCTCTGCAGTTCTGGTTCCTCAGCATCCCAWAGACATGACTATGATTGGGTAGTGTGGTCTGTGTCATACTTTGGCTTTATTTTCCCTGGCAGCCCAATCCCTCCAACAGGCTGGCCATCATCCATATCCTGGGCCTGCTTTCCAACCTGTTCACCACCCTGGACATCAGCCACCAYGATGACGACCATGAGAGCACCGAGGTCAAAAAACTGCCAGTGCAGCAAGGACCCAACCCAGTGAGTAGAGTGACAGCTCCATGKTCTCTGCCACAGCCTGGCCAAAGCCTCGCTAGTCTTTGCCAGAGAGGGGGTTAATGGGGAATGCAGCATGTGCCAGCAAGAGGATAGTGCTCTTGCATTCCAGCTAAAATAGCTCCTTCAGCTCATCCCACCACTCCTGAGGTGGACAGAGGTGGCTTGCCTCTTGGATGCCTCTTGGCTAGGTACTGCTCTAGAGGATGGCCTGGGTGTTGCCTGCCAACTGTGAGCTGTGCCAGGCTGCTTCAGAAAAAARCTGTCCAGCTTTGGACAGGGGAGGTGGTGCCTGAAGGTTTGAGTCCAGGCCATGCTTAGTCTTGAATTTCCCCTTCCCAATGCCATGGAAGAAAATTCTCTTCAGTGTCTCTTGTTCCTTACAGGTGGTGGTGGTTCTGCAGCAAGTCTTCCAGCTCATACAGAAGGTTCTCAGCAAGTGGCTGAATGATGCCCAGGTGGTGGAGGTAACAAGGCTTCACCTGTATACTGCGTGCAGCTCTGCCTGTCCTTGCTGACCTGAGCTGGGGACAGCAAAGGACAGACTCTGGGTGATGGCCTGTGAGAGGGATGTCTTGCTGGGTTATCTGAACCAGTGCTGCTTGCTGTCACCAGCAGCATTGAGCCATTCTTGTCTGTTGTGTGCCTCCATCAGCTCTGCTTCTCTCCAGCGATGGAGGCCCATGAGCAGGAGATGGGATCTAGCCAACCTGTGTTCCCTAAGAGAATAGCTCTGATCTGACCTGGACCTGTATAATCTGGTGTGTGTCCAGTTTGCTCAGGCCAGTAATGCCCATGTGCAACATCYCACCAGACACTTATCCCTGGCTCTTGAGGAGCCTTCCTGCTGTGTGGGAAAGGGTATTTCCTGGTCTCTGGGAGCATCCTGTGCCACAGGGCAGGCCACCAGTACCTGAGCAGGTCTGAGCCCTCTGCCTGGCTGGTCCCTGTCCCCATTGCCAGCTCCTCCCTCCCCTGGGACACATCCATCAAGCCCTGACCCCCAGGAGAGGTCTCCTGATGCCCATTGCTCATGCAGTCCCTCTTTTCCCGTAGTCTGTCTGTGCCATATTTGAGAAGTCTGTGAAGACTCTACTGGATGATTTTGCCCCCATGGTGCCTCAGCTGTGTGAGATGCTGGGGCAGATGTACAGCACCATACCCCAGGTCTCTGCCATTGAACTCACCCGGCAGGTATGGAACTGTGCTTGGGAGGCTGGGGATGTGCAGGGCCAGCAGAAGCTTCAATCCCTCTCTCTCTTGCAGCTGGTTCACATCTTTGCCCATGAGCCTGCCCACTTCCCTCCCATCAAGGCCCTCTTCTTGCTCGTTACCTCAGTCACACTGACCCTGTTCCAGCAAGGTACGTAGGATTCTTCGCRCTGGGGCTGTTGTCAGGCTTTTGCATGCATGGAGTCTGGAGGCGTCTTACCAGCAGTGGCTGTTTTCACTCCTAGCTAAGCTAATTGGGGCCATCTCTTTCTTGGATTCATCCCAACCCCTGGAAGGTGGGTACCTTCCCTGCAGGAAATAGAAGTAGGAAACCCCTGGGTGCTCTGGGCCTCTGTACTGTTAAAACAGCCCAGCTGGGTATCCCATGCTGCAAGGGTCAAGCTGGAGCTGCAGTCCAGCTGGGCAAGGAGGCYCTGCCCACAAGGGGATCCTGGGGCTTCTCCAGGAGCCAGCGCTGCTTGTACAAATCAAGCCCTTCTGTGAGCGGGAGGATGTGTGTGTGAACATCTGGAAAATTACTTTTTCAGCGTCGCTGGTGGCCACCGAGTCCGTGCTGTGATGCTGAAGATGCTACTGTTCTCCTTGCAGGGCAGTGGCCCCTCTTTAGCCCACTACCACCCTACCAAAAGCAAATGGGGTTAGAACAGGCTCCTTTAYACCATGGCTCCCCTCAGCATCTTGGTGACTTGCCCTGTGACAGGGACAAACGTACGTTGGAGCTGCTGGCTCTGGTCCTTCAGCATCACCATGTGCGACCCCCAAGGGGTTTTATCCTTTGCTCAGAGCTGGGTGTCAAGTACAGTGATGCTGTCCCCCACTTCAAGGCTCAGAGCTCTCTAGAGGTGGGGGGAGACATGAGGAGCCCTGCTTATCATCACGCCACGGTCTGAGCAAATCCCACTGTGCTGAGGTGTCACTGGGGTCAGTGACAGCCTTACTCGGGTATCAGGTCCCGCCTCGTGCCAGTGGCGTGTGGATGTGTCTGTGCTGGAACCCTTTTGCCTCGGTGCTGGGGAGGTGGCCATGCCTCTGGGCAGCAGCAGGCACGTCTGCAGGAGGAAAGGGGAGGGGACAGAGCCCGAGCTGTGCCAACACCTGGATGTGAGCTTTGCTCAGGCAAGCGGCTGTTGAGCTCGGTACGTGCCCGGGACTGTCCCCTTGGGTGGGGGGCCAGCTCTGAGCAGGGTGAGCCCCTTCTGCTGAGCCCACGGGYGGCAGGAGAAGGGGGGAAGCCTGATCCTACAAGGGCCAGGACGCGAACGTGCACAGTCAGATGCCAAGGTAGGGTGAGTGGTGCTGACACAGAGACCTCTGGGCACTGAGCTGCTCTCTGCCAGGAGGATGCTGGAGGAGACCTCCAGGAGGGTCCTGGACTCACCATCCTGGAGACCATCTGGGAATGGGGTGGGAGGGTGTCTGCGCCAGGGTCTCCTGAGCAGCTGATGCTGGTGACAAGCATGTGCACGCCTGAGCCCAGCCAGGCCTGTCAAGCATTTGCTGAGGTGTTGTCRTTCACTTGCAGTTACCTTCCAGGACCAAACAGTGCTCTGAAGACACCCGCTCAGTCCCCACAGTGCAAAAGCTATAATTCTCCTTGTGGAGATGGTGCCCAGCTAGCCCCTGCTCCTCCTTCTCTTCCTCCCCAAGGACAGAAGATCTCCTCCTTGGCTCTGCAGCACCCAGCTGCTAGCTGGAGACCCTGGGGCTTTAGACCCTTTCCTTTGCAGTTTCTTTCTGTTCTTGGGTTCTCCAAGTTTCATGATTTTTTGTATGTTTTGTTTCTTTAACTTGCTTCAAGCTGCTCATGTTGCCCATCCCCTTCCCCACACACCCCTCCTCCCTTACACTCCTGTTTTCACTTGTAAATTCTTTCTGTATCACATAACTATATGATGTTGAGTTGCTGTTTGTATGATTTTTCTCTTAAGTTACATCTTTATTATATTTTAGGGCCCAGGGATCATCCTGATATTGTTGATTCATTTATGCAACTCCTGGCACAGGTGTGTTTTAGTTTCTTATTCATTCACTTTCTGTTCTCTCTCTTTCTCTTTTTAATTCAATTTAAACCTATTTTTAGCTTTCTGTTGACAACTTTTTTTTCCTTTTAGTTGAATATCGAGTTTCTCCATCTGTTTCCGTGGAAGTTGAAAACAAAACATTCTCCTTTAGTTCTGGGTTCACACCATCCCCAGGGCAGTGCCCTCCTCTGCAGGGCAGCTCCAGCTCCCACCCCCTCGCTGTGCTGAAGCTGGCGTGGGGCGCTTGGTGCTGYTGCTGCAGTCACCCTTGGGTGACAGACAATTAGAACATTAAGTGGATGTTTTCCAACCCATATTTACCTGCCCCTCTGATGGATCCTCTGGAGTGGGGACAGGCTGCTTTGCCCGGGGCCAGTGGGAGGAAGCCCCTGCCCTCAGGAGCAGGCAGCTGCCAGGGTTTGGCTCTGAACAAACTGCTTGTGATGGCATCTGGATGTGGCAGGTGCCACATTGCCTGCTGTCCCAGCAGCCTCTCTGGTGGTGGYAGTTCCTGTGTGGGAGCTGCTGTCTTGGTGGCACATGGGGACAGTTTGTGTTGGTGTGGCAGGGCCGCGGGCTGGCACAGGGGGCTGGCACTTGTGTCACTGCTGGCGGTGGGCAGGCAGGGCCAGTGCTATGCTGTGTGTGTATATACACCTGCCCAGTGTGCTCCTCAGCCCCCCGTGGCCCTTAAGGGAGAGGCCCTGATGTCTCTGGTGCACTCAGTGGCCCTGTCAGGGACACGTTCCCTGCCCACCTRCCCACAGGGTGGCTCTGTGGTGAGGAGGGGCCCGTCAGAGTTGCTTCCTGCTGTTTTTCTGTAATGGTGAGACCTCTGACCWCGCATGCTGGACCAGTGGCTGTGCAGGAGCACTCACCCAGGCTCCTCCCCARGCTGTGGTCATCTTGCCCTTGCTGACAGCCCTGGGAGAGTGCCTGGCACGTGCAGACCCCTCTGATCCTCCCATGGGTCTTGAGGGTTGGAATGGGCAAGGAGGCTGCACCTCACCTCCCCCAGGAAGGGTCTTCTCCTTACAGTTCTCAATACCCAGATCCTGCTGAGACCCATTGTATCTCAGAGCCATAYTGCAGCCTTTTCTTCCCTGCTTTTCATCTTGGAAGACATAACATAAACAAAGCTATCAGACTTCTGCTCTGATTTTGGTTTTGGWAGCTGTGACCGTTTAACAAGGATCATGAACATGATGGGAGGTTGATAAATGGGGTCTCTGCATGAGGTTCTTGGTGGTGTCCTCATTGCTAGCAGGACCTCCATTYGAGCCTAGTGCCTAGTTTGGGGCACATTTCTGTAGATTTATACCAGAGACCACACAGAAAAGCATCTGGGAAGATGGYCATCTTGTACACATTGTGGGGAGGAAAAGCTGATGGGAGCTTGAAGAGCTGCTTGAGTCTTGGAATATGTAAAAGGTAATGTGCCAGTTGTAGGTAAAAAACCCTTTTCTGTTCTCCTTACATGGGACAATCAGTAWCAGGAGGAAATCATGGTAAAGGATACAGGTCTGGCAGTGGCAAATCTTCCTAAGAGGGCRGGGAAGCACTGGAAGATCACGTGGGGAGCTGTTGTTGCATGGAGTTCTTGAAAGGACTCAACAAGCCCATGGGTCTTGGAGAGTAGGCAGTGGTGATCCTGCTGGGGTGTAAAGGCATTAGGTGACTTTGAAAGGCTATCCCAGTGATACTTGTTGTTTCTTTGGAAAATACTGAATTTCTCTCTGGCTTGSGGCCCTCCTCTGTGTCTGGACACAGAATATTTGTGTTTTCTGGGAGAGAAAAGTGCAACCATGCTGCACTTCTGTGGGGTGTACTGTGAGACCAAACACCGCCCATTTTGGGTGCTGGGAAGCTGTTACACATGGCTCCTGTGGGCAGGATCTGCAGGCAGTGCTGGGGATTGTGTTGGCAGCTGGCCCTGTCTCCTGTGTGTGCATCTCCAGACGTTCTTCAGAGGCTGCAGGAGCAGCTCAGAGGGTCCTACCTCCATGGCTTCTCCATCTTGGATCACTGAGAGACATCTGACACTGTGCTGGCAGCCTGACACCACTCAGTCAAGATGTGTTGTTTTCCTGGGCTTTTTATCGCTGAAACCCCTTGGAGACCCCTCATCCCTGTCCTCTCTCTTCACATAGAACTCAAGATTTCCTCTTCCTTGGCCTGAYCATTCTCACAGAGTGATGATCTAGTGATGATCTAGCTTTAAAACCCATCRGGAATTGGCCTTGGCATCCCTGATTGATTCCTTGCTCTCAGGACTTTGAGAGCTGTCTGATGGCAGTGATGGATTCAGCCTTTCCTCTTCCAGAGGACTCTGCAGTGATGCTGTTGAGGATTTGTAGATCAGACAGTTAAAGTCGGAATTGCAGATCTCTTCAGACCAGATTTTTGTGTGGCAAGAGCTGTGTTTTCACCCAGCCTGCTCTGCCTGCAGACCACTTGGCAAACTAGTGCATCTTCCGGAGCAGCAGCAATTTTGGATCCAAGAGCGTGTCAAGGTGGAGACTTTCCCACTTCCCTGACCATCTGTTTTTGTGGTTGATCACCGTGGTGGAACTCCCACCTTCCCTGTTKGAAGTTTGTCTGGTTTCTCCTTGCAGGCAGTGTTTTTGTCCTCTCTGCCAGCAAGTGCTGTTCTGCCTTCTGGTAACTCAGGAGAAGCTCATGATAGCTGCRTATCAGCTCTCTGTCACCAGCCACAGGGAGCCGTCTCCGTGTCACAGGATTCTGCTGGCTTTATCTTTCTTTGAGCTTGGTTGCAGCTTGTGGAACTGCCCAGTTGCAGTTGATCCTTTTGCCACAATGTTAATTGGCAGTCCACTCTTTACAGTGGCTGGCTAATCAGGGGAGCCTGCTGGCTTAAACCAAATGATGAAGTTATCATACTACTTGAARCGAAGGATAAAATAACTGGTCTGCTGCGTGGAGCAGTGCCAGCATCCTTTGTGATGAGATGGTTCTCAGCTGCTCCCTCCTGCCTCTGCTGTGTGCTGGGACTGGTGCAGAGCATCACTGCTGCAGTGCCCAAGGTGAACATCCCCATGGAGAGTTGTGGGGCTCAGTTCTACCCTTGCACCCGGAGCACCCCTGCCCAGGACCACATGGCCATGGTGACTGGGGCTTGCACCCAAGTCTGTGTTGGTAAAACCAGGCAGGTTCTGAAGTTTRGGAACCAGTGGGTATCACTTACGTRTGTGCTTCTGCCTGCAGTTGGGATTTTGAGGCTCTCCAGCCTGTCTTTCCACCTCATCCATCCCACCCCAGCAGGGCTTCTCACTTGCACAGACCTTGGAAGCTTCAGTGACTTGCCCTGACAGATCCCTGGGGCAGTCTGGGTCAGCGGGGCCTCACCAAGCAGAAGATGCAGGATTGACCTTCTGTGATGGCACGACCGTGCCTGGCCAAGCACAGCCAKCCTCATCCCCCACCTCCCTCCCATGTTGTGCTGGTCCAGGCTGCATGCAGCAGTGCTTGAGCTCTCCACACACCTGTTCCACCTAGGATGTAGAGAGCCCCGTGGAGGACGTATGTTCAGCATCCCCTTGCTGAGGCTCACTGCTCCTGCCTGGCCAACTTCATGTGCCCTTTTCATAGGAAGAGGCTGTGCTCTGCCAGATGTGGGGTCTGGGAAGAGGTGGGGTACTGGRCACAAAGGCTGTGTGTTCCTGGGGAGCTGCAGGAACTGGCAGYGCAGTCCCCACTGCCCTGTCTGCTGGAGTGGGTGTCCCTTCCATGCCTGTCTGCATACGAAGAAATGGGCACAGAAGAGCYTGCTCTGAAGACCTCTCTGGTGATCTCCCAGCTGCTGTGGAGAAGAACCCAACATTCCTTCTATGCTGTCCTCCAGGGCAGTTCTTGGAGAGTGAGTGCCTATTTCAGCAGTGGCTGCTCATGCAGAGAGCATGGGGGGAACATCTGAAAGTGTGTAAAGACCTGTGCCCATCCCAGAACAGGGAGCAGAGGTGCTCTGGCAGGAGACAGAGAAAATGGGCTGGCAGTAAGAGGTCCTGGACTTGGARCTGGAGCTACCTGGCAGTGCTTTCTTATCAGAGAGACTCCACAGGACCCCATTTTGTGGGGATGAAAAGCATCTCTTTAACATTAGCCATGTGCATCTGTACCAAGGTCTGCATTGGTCCTGCACTCTGTGCAAGGTGTCCTGTGGGAAGGAGCCCTCCCARTACTGGCATGCTCTTCCCCATGGCACTGACGGAGTGAGGAGCAGATGCTGCAGTGAATCTGCAGGAGAGCTTGGGGGGSTCTGCCTGCAGAAGGTCTGGTTTGGCTGGGAGAAGCACCCTGCAGGTAGGTGGGAACCTGGGCTCAATGGAAGACTTGTGCCAAATGGAACACTGGTAGCATGCAGGACTTGGGTTAAAACCAGCCTCATGGATGGACAGGGTGGAGGAACTTGCAGCAGGGTGGTATCACAGGAGCCAGCTGCTCTTGAGCAACATGCTGCTGGGGGAGAGGCTCGTGGTCCCTGCTCTGGAGCTCACAGTAGGGCCCCAGCAGGGGTAGTCTCCCAGCACTAAACTACAACATCTCCTGCAAGCATTTGTCCTGTATGGGGCCAGCTGGACAGCAGCAGCTTCATGAGTGGATGTGTTGCTAAACCATTGCCCAGCCAGCAGGTCACCTTCTGATGTTGGTGGCAGCATTTCGGGAGGGATGGTGCACAGCCTGTATATACACACACAGGTATAACATAGCCCCTGATTGCCCCATGAAGYTCTCMACTTGAATCCAGCATGGAGCAGGTCCCTGCAATTGTGCCATCTCCAGCTGGTACAGCGATGCCTTTGGTCCCCAAACCTGAATCCTCTTTTGCAGTGTGCRATAGAAAAGGTCAGAAAGGAGACAGAATAACTCTGAAACATGCTCCTCAACTTCTTGGTTTCCCTCATCTGCACTGGGCAGATGGCTCTGGACTTTCCCTGGAGAAGAAGGGGTGGGAAATAAGTCTGTATGGCTCCAAGTGGAGACCACAGGGGCACATGACGTGCATCCTGGGTGCTGTTGGTTGAAAGCTGTCTGTCCCTGCTTTTACCCCTGGGAGGAGGCTCAGAGGGCAGCAGTGGCCCCACACACAGCTTAGCCCGAGGGCTGCCTGCCCTGGTATACTGCTCTCTCAGCTCTGGGCACAGAGCAGGGCCGCTCCCGTGCTGTGGCTGCTGTCCCTGGTGTTGCAGTGACAGCAGGGCAGGAGGCATGGCGGCAGTTCCCAGTGCTTTTCTGCAGCAGTGGATGTGGTGGTCAGGACATGATGTGGCTGCCTAATATAGAGGGCTCAGTGAGGCAGGTCAGAAACCCTTCCCAGGGAGTASAAGGTTGAAGGCTGAAACATTTCAACCCAGTAACTGCTCAGTGCRAGCACCAGGGGGACCAAGTCACTGCACAAGGTGCCACAGCTCAAGRTGTCTCCAGCAGCAGTGCCTGACCCCCGCAGAGGCTGGTGGAATCACTGTGCGGTATTAAAAAAAAACAACAAGCTTTCTTGATCTCAAGACCTGCTGTTCAGGAGCTGCCAAGAAATGTTGGCATCTCATTGTCATCTGGTACAGTCAGGGGCTTCTGCTTGAACCAGTTGCTGTGACCCCAGGGATGCCAGCATCTTCAAGAGAGGAGCCAAACACACAGGTGGCTGCCCTTGTCCTGGGAGTGGTGCCACTGCCTGATCTGCTCTGATGGGACAGGAGCCCTCTGTGTCAGTGTTTGCACACCACTGTGGCACCTATCCTCAKATCCTGGGGTCAGCAGATCCTGGGTATAGCAAACTGCCTGGCTGTTTGAATTATATTCTTGGGGAGGGGTAAAGTGATGGTTTCCTGCTGTACTGTGTGAATCTGCCATTTGCTGTGGGTGTGCCCAGGTAAGTGTGTGTCCAGGCAGAGGCTGTCTGGGGCACCGGGTTCCTTGGAGGCTTCCTGGCTATCTCTGCAGCGCTGGGTTCATGCTGCCTGTCTGTGTGCCTTGCAGGCTCTGAAAAGGAAGCCAGACCTCTTCTTGTGTAGCAACCTGGACGTCAAAGCAGTGTTTCAGTGTGGTGAGTACCATGGGCATGGGCATGTGCTCCAAATCAATCTGAGGAGATGCCAGCCTGCTCCTCCTGTTGGAGCTATTTGGCAAAACAGCCATGGGCTGGGGACCACAGGGCTGATTTGGGATRGTGAGGGGGTTTTCTGGCTGCTAACCTGAGTGATTTTTGCCTGCAGGTGTCCTTTCACTCAAGTTTCCTGAAGCCCCAACAGTCAAAGCATCCTGTGGCTTTTTTGTGAGTATGATGCCATCRTGCAGTCCTCTCTGAGAGTTGGCTGGGAAGGCAGGAGTGGGGCTGAGGTTGGGCACAGGTGCTGCAGGGTAGAGCCTGCACTGACAATGAATGGGCYTGGACTCTGTGTTGCAGACGGAGCTGCTGCCCCGCTGTGGAGAGATTGCTCCGGTGGGACAGGTCGTGCATGAGAACGGCAAAGCAYTGCTGCAGGCAGTGCTGGAGGTGAGAGACTGGACCGTGGTTCCCCAGGCAGCACTGGGCTCTGATCCTGAGCCAGGGTGGGAGCAGGGAGAGTGACAGTGTGGGCTCAGCATGTTGTTTGCTCTGTGGCAGGGCATCGGTGGCCAGGCTTCCCGCAGCCTCATGGATCACTTTGCAGAAATCCTCTTTGCCTTGAACAAGCACTGCTTCAGCCTTCTGAGCATCTGGATCAAGGAGGCCATGCAGCAGGATGGTTTCCCCTCAGCCCGAGTCACTCCGGAGCAGAAGGAAAACTTCAGCCAGCAGATCCTCAGGTTCGTGTGCCACTTGCCCTGGCAGCCGTGCCCCACATGTRGTGGAAATGACGCCCCTGCATGGCCCAGTGCAGTCCTCCTCCTTCATGTTTGTCCCCTCCCTCTGTCTTAGCAGAGAGCGTGTGAACAAGAGGCGAGTGAAGGAGATGGTGAAGGAGTTCACTTTGTTGTGCCGAGGGCTGCATGGTACAGAATACACAGCAGACTACTGAGCACCTGGCCAGGACCACGGACGATTTGCCTGGACCAGCTCTTCCCAAGGAAAAGCCCCCCCATCCTCCCTGCCCTGCTGCAGTACAGCTCATAGAATAACCCTCCACCTAGAATTAACCCACTTGGGACGCTCCTCAGCTAGATTTGGTGGCTGCTCTCGGTGTCAGCATCTTTGTTTCCCCCAGCATGCTCCCTCCTCGCAGGGGACAGGAGTGCTGGCTGCAGGAGGTGGTGGCGGGGCAGGGGAAGCCTGGGCAAGACTGCCCCATCCTCGGGCTACCAGCCCCTCCCCAGCCCTTCCCTGTGGGTGCCCGTGCCCCGCAGCGGGGAGGCTGCCCCTTGCCTGCAGCAGTGGCTGGCTGGGCGGGGGGACTTGCCCCCTGCTCGTTTGTACGTGTGGTTGGGAGGGGGGAGGCCCTGCACCTAATTATATTAAGAATATTTCTATGTTGTGGCTGTCGTTACTGCAGTGCCCAGACTCTGCCTGCCTCTTGCCTCTAGGGGGTTAAATCAAGGTTGGGATGCCTCAATGTCTCCCTGGCTTTTGGATGGCAAAAACCAGCCCATCCTGCTTGCTCAGTCTCACATGAAAGGGGCCAGAYTCCACTGCTGCCAAACATGGGGTCCTTTCCTGCACACAAATGTGTGCACCCCATTCCCATTTATCAGAGAGGATGAGGGGCTTGCTCATGCTTGGAGCCCCCCTGCCCTTGCCTTAGTGTCCCAGTCCAGCCTGGACTTTCATTGCTGGAGGTCCCAGCTCTSGTTTTCTGTTCTCTCAGGCTGGTTTTAGCTGACACAYGGGGCTTTGCTCCTCAAGTGGGCAYCATGATTTGTTTTTCACTCTGGTCRTATCACCCATCTGCCGTCCTCAGCCCATGTTTTATTCCAAAAACCACTTCCCTCACAAGTCCTCTTCAGCATTAGTTAGCAGCAGTAGTTCACAAAAGCCTCAAGTCCCAGCACTGTCAGCTCTKGCAGAGATGTGACCTTTCCACATAGGGACAAAGCTGCCCTGGACGGAGGAGCTGTCAGAGGCTGGATCTGGGCCAAGTGCCTCTCTCTCCTGGCCCCGCTGCTGCCCTGGCCATGAGCATTCCAGAACACACGTGCCACTCCTGCTCTCCCACTGCAGTACTACTGACCCAGGGCTCCATGCAGCAAGGGCCCAGCTGGCAGCAGGTCCCACACGCAGTGGGAGGCAATGCCTGGGCCCCCACAGGGCCCCACTCCTGGTTGGGTGCTGATGCTGCTCTATCAGGGTTGCTCACACCCTTCGTCCTCATAGGCAATGGCAATCCCTCGTCGGCCCTGCACAGCCTTGGAGACCGGGGTCTGTCCCAGCTGCTGCTCCAGGCCCCGCCAGCTGCGRGACTCCAGGAAGGAGGCTGGGAGGAGACAGAAAGGGAATTGTTACCAGGAGCAAGAAGGTGGCACTGCCCCTGCACCAGGACTCAGCCCCACAAAACCAAGACAAACCTGCAGGGCTGATCTCTGCCAGTGCCCATGTCTGGTCCCTGCTGGCCAGGGCGGTGCTGGGGGGTGACAGGGAGGTTGGGGAATCGCAGAGGTGGGTAGCACGCATGTTCCCTGTGATCAGCGAAACGTCAGGAACAGCCTCTGCTGTGGGAACAGCTGATGGGAGCTCAACATGCGCACAGGCACCTGCCAGGAAATGGTAATGTTAGCCTGGCCCATCTACCCTGGAGCAACTGCAGCCTACAGGCAGGGCAGCTGGGCAGAATATGCCCTGGGAGGGTGCTGTGCAKCTGTCTCTAGCTATTACCTGGCAGCAGGTCTCGGAAGTCTGTGAGGTAGTTCCCTGTCCACTCACGGGCTGGGTTGCAGGCCAGCTCCAGCTCATAGGGGGTCACAACAGGTCGGTAGAAGTCACTGGAGTCCAGGAGGGAGTTCTGAGCACAGGCCACCAGGACAAAGATGTCCACCTCCAGGAAGTTGGCCAGCTTGGCAGGGTTGGGCTTGCCCACGGCCAGTGTGTAGCTGCGCTTGCCGGCCCGGTGCAGCAGCTCCCGGAGGTGCTGCAGCAGGGTCAGGTAGCCCGCCACGCCAAGGGTGCCCACCAGGATGCCCACCACACGGGCGTCCCGGGCCCGCTCCACCAGGTACAGGCGGCGCATCAGCGCCCGGTTGACATTGAGGGTCTCGCGGCGGCCGCAGCYGGAGATGGGGTTGAAGGAACTGAAGGGGCAGCGGTTCCAGGTCAGCATGAAGCTGGTGAGGGCAAGGCCCTCAGCTCCCACGTAGAACATGGCATAGTCCTGCAGCCCCCCCGCAGTCTCCACCCAGAACTGGCGACCAAACTTCCGCTCCTCCCCAGGCACTGCAGGGCCAGGAGGGTCTCCACACACCAGCCTGGAGAAGATGATATTGGGGTACTCGGGACACAATTGCTGCTCCAGCTCACCTGGAGGGAGAGAGGAGTAAGAACAAAACTTGGCCACGGTCCTGACCCTGAGGAGGTGCAACATGAGTGGACAGGACATAAATCAAAGCTGCCAGTGTCTGGGGAATGCCTGCTTGCTCTCACCCTGGCAGCTCTGCAGAGCTGAGAGCAGTACCAGAGCCCCCCTCCCTGCCCCAGAGCACTCACCCATCGCATGGGCATAGACCACATCGCTCAGCACCACCACACGGCTCTGCCGCTCGGGGTAGAGCTCCCGGAATGCCTCTGCGCAGCGCCCGATGTCCAGGGGCTGCTGCCCRAAAATGTGCAGCACTGGGAGCTTTCTGCAGGGGCTGAGGCAGGCTGGGCCGTAGTGCAGCACGGCCTCGGCACCCACGTGCTCGGCGGCCACTTCATCCACGCAGCAGCTGCGAGGAGAACCCGCAGTCAGATGGGCTCTGCTGCCCTCCTCCCCTGGCACCGCCCATTCCTGCCYGCAGAGGAACCCCAGACACCCTGCACAGCCCCACACCGACCTGCCATATGTGGTGTCTCCTAACACGTACATCTCAGCCCCGGTCGCGGCCTCCATCCGCGCTGCCACCTCCACGGCRTCTGCCAGGAGCTCATCAGGGAACTGCAGGGCAACCTGGGGGGAACAGGACGTAAGGCACTGGGGGATGAGGCACTAGGGGGTGAGATGAAGGGATAGAAAGGGATAGGATGGACAGAAGGTACCCTCAGCAAGTTTACTGATGATATGAAACTGGGGGACATGGCTGATACATCTGAAGGCTGTGCCATTCAGCGGGACCTTGGCAGGCTGGAGAATTAAGCAGAGAGAAACCCAGTGAGGGTGAAYAAGGGCAAGTGTACGGCACTGCACCTGGGGAGAAATAATCCCAACTACCAGCACAGCCTGAGGGCTGACCTGCTAGGGAACAGTTCTGCAGATAAGGATCTGGGAGTCTTGGTGGGTGACAAGTTGAGCAGGCATGGCCCTACATCCAGGACGGCCAGTGGCATCCTGGGGTGCGTCAGGAAGAGTGTGGCCAGCAGGTCGAGAGAGATGATCCTGCCCTTTGACTTGGATCTGGTGAGGCACACCAGGAGCACTGTCTGCAGTTCTGGGCTCCTCAATGTAAGAAAGACAAGGARCTACTGGAGACRGTCYAKCAGAGGCTAAAAAMTGATGAGGGGCCTGGAGCATCTCTGCATCTCTCTTGTGAGGAGAGACTGTAGGAGTCGGGCCTGTTTAGTCTAGAGAAGACTGAGAGGAGATCTGCTGTGGTTTGGTAATGGTACTCCCCAGTTTACGGCTCCCACTGAGCCTCTCCAAACCATGCTGCCACTCGCTCACTCCCCCATCCTGCAGCAGGATGGAGACGAGAATCAGAGACACAAAGAGTAAGATCACAGGTCAAGATCAGAACMATTTGCTGGAAACTGCAAATTAAACACAAAAACCAACAGTAACAGCAACACTATTAGTTACTGTTAGTTACTATTAGTAACAGTGTACAAGAGACAAACTATTCATACWTGAGGGCTCTGGCAACACCTGACTGGGGGGAGCAGCTGTGGGACCCGGAAGGACCCYGTCCCTGTTTCCAGAAAATRCTGYCAGGTGATACAGAATAACCTCTGGGTCCTGGCCATGCCCTCGCCYGGCAACTGCAAAAATTAACCCTGTCCTGCYTGGGACTACAACAGGATCTCATTAATGCATATAAATATCTCAAAGGCGGATGCCAAGAGGACTGTGCTGGACTCTTCAGTAGTGCCCAGCAACCGGATAGAGGAAGGAGCAATGGCCATACAGTAAAACACAAGAAGTTTCACGTCAACASGAGGAAGAATTCGGGTGGCAGAGCACWGGAACAGCTGCCCAGGGAAGCCGTGGAGCCTCCCTCGCTGCAAACACTCCAWACGCACSGGRATGTGTTGCTGTKTARYCTGCTCTGGTRACCCTRCYTTGGCAAGGGGGTTGGATTAGATGATCCCCAGAGGKCCCTTCCAGTGCTGACCATTCTGTGAGGCACCGGGAGAGGGGGCGGCGCGCAGTCCCCGGCCCGCTCCACCCTCGGCCCCACTCACCTTGCGGAACCCGCCATCCCGTACGAAGGCGGCGGCCCGGCCCATCTCGTAGAAGCCGTCGAGGTCGCCCTGCGGTGCGGCCGCCCCGGCCGGGAGCAGCTCCCGCCGCAGCGCAGCCTCCCCGTCGCTGCTGAAAGCCGCGGCCATGGCGGCACGCGGGACCCCACGGCCGCTTCCGGTCTGCGGCTCGGCGCTGGCCAATGGGAGCTCGGCCCTGCCCCGCGCGSCCAGAAGTCCCGCCCACAACGGGGTGGAGAGGGAAGGACAGCCAATGGAAAGGCGTGCTGCTTGCGGTGCATTATGGTCTGTGTAGTTCTCCCGCCACCGTCAAATCAGACAGCCAATAGGCGGGCGCGGTGCCGTCGGTAGTGTTGCGTCACTTCCGCTCGGGCGCTGCAGTTCCGGTCACGTGCCGCGCGCTGGTCAGGTGACCCGGCCCGATCCGCTGCCGCCGCCGGTGCCGCCGCCATGACGGGGCTCGCCCTGCTCTACTCGGGGCTCGGCCTCGCCTTCTGGACCACGCTGCTGGGCGTCGGTCAGTGCCGGGACGGGGGAGGGCGGGGGGCCGCGGGCCGCTGAGGTGGGGGGTCGCGGGGCTGAGCTGCGGGGCTGAGCCGCGGGGCAGGAGGGGCCCGAGGGGAGGCTGCCGTTCGTGCCTTTGCCCGTGCTGGAGAGGGGCTGGAAGGATTCTGGTGTGGAAAAGGAGGGCGGGGGTGGAGAGGTGCGGCGTTGTCAAGTCCCCTCCGGTGCTGCGCTGCTCCCTAGGGCTGGTCCGTGGTCTACGACACAACCGGGAGCGCAGCTGCGGGGCTCCCCAGCCTGGGCAGCACCCTCGGGGCTTGTAGCAGCTCTCTCGGAGCCCCCAGCGGTGCCGTGTAAATCCCAGTGCAGTTTCCAGCGCTCTGAGCCCGTCTAGCTGGAGCAGGTGATTTGTTTCAGTGTGTGTGTGAGMGCAGAAAGGTGCTGGTGCTGGTCAGGGTCGTGTTTGGATTTGGCAGATTAGAGGAGGTAAAGGCAGGAGGAGGCTGGTCCTTCAAACTGTGAGTTGATGTCTCTAGGTTGGAGAGATCTCCTTGCTTTGCCAAGCTTGAGAGAACGTGCAAGTTTGGACGATGGCAGAGCTGCTGTGTGGCCGTGTTGCAGCTCATGGCAGCTCATGCTCTGCTGCTGAAGGTGTTGGGACCAGCAACACCGAGGATAGGTTTAATGCCCTAGATAGATTTTGTGCTGGGACTGCTGGTTATTTTCTCTTAACACAGAGTGAAGTGACCACAAACCAGGCAGAGACTGGGGCGACCTTTGCTCTTGCTTCAGTGTTTGGGTGAGGGGAGASAATGAGTCAGAAGTGAAGGGTCTCTCACTCCCTCGTGTTTCCAGGGCCTGGAGAACTCAGTGTGGSCCCAGGGCTGCCTCACTGGGCTCTCTGAATCATGCGGCTCACACCAGTGCAACTGCACACTGTGTGCATGAGACTGTTGGAAAATCTCACTGAGCTGAGTCCAATTGCTCTTCACTTCCCCTGCCCTGTTGCAGCCCCTTTTTGAGGAAGTCATGAGCAGGAAATTGTCTTAGTCCATGCAGAGTTACAGCAGTGTCTCTTTGTGCTTTCTGCCTTTGTCCTAAGCCCTGATTTGATCCTCTAGTCCTGCTGCCCTGTCTCCTTTCTGTCCTTGTGGCTTCAGGGCTGGAAGTCAGAGCTCACAGGAAAGTGTCCTTTACCCTGTTTCTTTTGCATATGAATCTAAGGTTACACCTGCTCTTGAAGAGATGAAAGGTGCCCTGAGGATCTGCCCTGAGCTGGTTTTAGCTCTTCTTTACTACTTCTAGGGAGTGGAGGCAGCTGAGGCTGGCTGGGTTCAGTTGCTGCTCTGCCAGCCAAGCAGCAAAGCCAAAACACAATCTCTACAGTACTGGCTGGGCCCAGCACTGTAGACATCATCCCTGAAGGTTGCCAGGCGTGCAGGCTGGGCTGTGGCTTTCTTCTGTGATCCCTGGCTGTGGTGGCACCATTCCTCATTCATGTGTGTTGCTACAGGGGAGGGGGCACCCCAATTCTGTGGCAGAAAGGGTGACCAGCRTTACCACCTCCCATTATGGGGCTTGCTGGCTTGTCTGACGGTGCTTGTGTGCTCCCCTGGTGAGTGGGGTGCTGAGCCCTGAGTTGCACATGGATGGGTAAGCACATGAGAATGATGGGGACATCCCTGCAAAGAGGGTCTCCCTCCACTGCAGTGCTGAGGCCTTCCAGTGRGATGAGTTGTGCTGCAGGTCTTGGCTGTGTGCAGGGAAGGGCTTCTCCAACCTGGGGGGTGTGATCCTGGCCCCATATTTCTGCTGGGCACAGTGCCATGACCCCCTACTCCAGGCAGTGACTCTGGGCTGGAAGAGAGCAGTGGGACACGTGCAGTGACCTCCTTRCTCCATTCGAGCATTTCAGAAGTCTCTCATTTCCTCTTTTCCCAACYGTACTGGGATCAGTGTCACACAGACACTCCTTCCAGTCAGATATGGTAGAGCTGTCCCTTCACCCTCTGTCTGGCATGGAGCACACAGTGCCACAATGCSTGTGCTTATCTGCTCCTTAGGGCTGGGTCACCATTCCCTTTTCCAGCAAAGAGCAAGTGTCTCTTCTGGTGTGCAGCCRTGTTTCCTGCCTGTGAGCTCAGGGCAAGGCAGGGTTTTGGTGCAAGAACYTCTGCATGTGCCTGGGCTGTGCAGGGATGTGACTCCCAGCTGTGGTTCCAAGTGGGAGATGAGCACTCAGGGTACATACAGCAGGGCAAGCCCTCCTCAGAAAGGAAGGGCCCTTCTGAGTTTCTCCAGATAGTGGTTTGGTGTCTCCTGCCTGTGTTGAAGTATAAATTTAACTGGAAATTACCCTTGAGGAAATGCTGAGGACAGCAGTCGTGTCTTGAACCCACAGCCTTGGAAAGGGGCTGTTGGAAGAAAGCTGTAGCTTCTGGTGTAGATGGGTTCCTGGGAAGCAGCACAAACACTGATGGGATGGTGATGTGGCAGCATGTGATGGTCAGTCAGGGCACAGCCTTGCTCCTCATCTGTCCTGTGGCAGGGAAGAGCTCACATCTGTCCCCTGTGCCGAGGCTCTCCAACAGAGCTGAGCCATTGGTGATGTGGGTGCAGACTSTGCAGGGGCACAGGGCTGTGGATTGCCCTTGAGACCCTGTAGCTCTGCATGGTCCATGTGTGTGCAGCAGGGCCAGGGAATAGAAAATGGGTGTGACAGCAACCACGATCATCTTCTGGATGAGACTGGGATGGGGTCTGGGATGGGGTATCACAGGTCCAGGCTGCTTAACCTGTGCTGGAAGTGTTGGGATCATGGGCATAACATTTGGAGGGGTCACCCTGCCCCACCGCTCTGTGTGCCTGAGCCAGTCTTATCAGCAACACTCCTGCATGCTSTGGTGTGCTCCTAGGGCCTCTGCCTCTGGGCTTTGCAGGTGGGGGCGGAACTGGCATTGCCTGTCTGGAGGTTTCCATCTTGTTCTTGCTTTCCAGGGATCTGCTACACGATATTTGACCTGGGCTTCCGTTTCGATGTGGCCTGGTGAGTTCCCTGTAGACATGGGCATCCTCAGAGCTGTGTGAGGAGGCAGGAAGTGCTGGCAGTGCCCCCCAGGAGCAGCACTTGCTTTTGAGGGATGGGCAGTGGTCACTGCATTGCAGGAGAACAGGAGCTACACTGAGCAGGGCCTCTGCTCCCCAGGAGGTGTGATGGATGCTGCCCATGTGTTTGTGGCTGACTCCATATGAGGTCCTGGTGCAGCTATTGCTGCTCTCTGCCCTCCATGTCACCGAGCCCAGACTTTCACTTTACAGTGAGGGTTTGGGAGGAAGATCTTGATCCATGTGGATGAGGGTCCTGTGTTGCTAGCTGGCAGAGAGAGGTTCTCATGTCCCATTGTTTGGGTGCCCAGCCCACCTTGGGCTGCATAATTTGGTGGAGGGGCAACTGTTTTGGGGTAGTCTGTGTGGCCTGACTATGGGGACTCAGCCTCTGTGCTAACTCAGGAYGCTTCTTCCTCTCCAGGTTTCTGACCGAGACCTCCCCCTACATGTGGTCCAACCTGGGCATTGGCTTGGCCATCTCCCTGTCTGTGGTGGGAGCTGCCTGGTGAGTGGGACTGTCTCCTCAGCATGCTCCTGCTGACCCACCTTGGTAGCTGTGTATACAATGCAGTATTCCTGTGCAGAGCAGGGGTGGAACAGTGTGTATGTATAGGGCTGTGGGTTACCACAGCAGTGGGGCTGAATTGCTGGGCTGCTGGGGGGTCTGGGTGGACCAACCCACAGGCAGCAGTGGTAGTGGAAAGACAGGGAAGTCTCTGGAAGCTGTACCTAAGCCCAGCTGTCCATTGGGTGGCTCTTGTATCCCAGCAGTTCTGCCGATGTGTGTGGTGGAGCTTGGGGCCACTCGTACCCCAGGAGTGGTTAGGCTGAGTGTGCAGTGTCCCCCAGATGCATGCCTGATTCTCTGCTCAGCTGAAAGATCCTGGTTTCTGTGTAGAGCTCTGCRAGTGCCAGACCTTCCACCAACCACCCTTGTCTGCCACAGGGGGATTTACATCACGGGCTCCAGTATCATTGGCGGTGGAGTCAAAGCCCCACGGATCAAAACGAAGAATCTGGTGAGGTAAGCACAGACCCGGGGTTAATTCTTGTGCTGCACCTGAGTGGGGCAGGTCACACCCCAATGAAGAGGCTTCTGTCTGCTCTCTAGCTGGGTGCTGCTGGCAGAGTGTTCCTTGCTGAGCTGCTGATGCTGTTTGCTTTCAAAACAAAGAGCCCTAAAGGAGCCAGAGTGCTGCTTGGAAGGGTCACTGTGATATCACACTGTGAATGAGCCCAGTGTGTTCAAAACAAACACCCTKCGATCACACATCCTGCCCAGGCAAGTGTTCTTGCACAACCCTTCCACAAGGAACAGAAGGGGCTGGTGGAGGGCATGGCTCCCTACTCCATACTTTCCACAGGATTCTTGCAGCTTACTCAGGTACCACAGCACAACCAGCATCCAGCCTTTGTGTTTTGCAGCTCCCCTGGTTTCAGAGGAAAGCAGGGGGTAGGCTGGACTGTCTTTCTGCCTTCCCATATGGCTGTGGAAGGGGTCTGGCTGCTGGCTGGCTGGTCGTGAAGTGGCAGGGGCTCCTTGGGATGGGGTCTTTCCCCTGGGACACTGGTCAGACTGACTGTGACACTGTGCTCAGGCTTTGCCTTTCTCCCACAGCATCATTTTCTGCGAGGCCGTGGCCATCTACGGGATCATCATGGCAATAGTCATCAGTAACATGGCCGAGGTATGGGAGCACCTGCACTGCATCCTGCGCTGGCCTCGGGGCTGTGCTGGGGATGGGCAGCTGGTCATGGGCCAGTGTTGGGAGCTGTAGCCCTGTGGGGATTTGGAACATTGTTGTGTCTCTGGGAGCTGCTGGGCTGGTGGTCTGTGCAGTGATCATCACCCATGATGAAGAGCGGGTGGGAGGAACACACACAAGGCAGATGCCATAAAGCCAGCCTGACATGGAGTCAGGGACCAGCTCTGGCTGGAATGTGGCTGCCTTATGCTGCATCAGGGACAGGTGCCTTTTCCAGAGACCACAGATTTGTCACTAACCCAGATCCTGTGCTTTCTCTCAGCCTTTCAGTGGAGTCACCCCAGAAGAGATTGGTGCCAGGAACTACCACGCAGGTAAGGACTGCTGGGACCCTGGTGCTGTCACTGTGAGCACTGCCTCATCCTGACCTCCACCTTCTGACCTACCCATGGCCTGCTGTCTGAAGGACATGTGCCTCTTCTGCACCTTCTCGAGGTCCTGCTGCACCCAACAGGCTGTGCTGCCCAGCAGCACACTGCTCCTCCCCTGGGTGGCAGCAGCTTGCTGTCCCTTGCTGGCCTGGCCCTGCAGAAGCTGAGGCACACCCTGGAGTGGTCCTGCTGTCCAAACAGGRCAGTGCTGGGGCTTGGCAGCTCCAGATCTTCTGTCACCTCGAGGCAGAGCTTCTGCAGCATGTCCTGGGTGCAGGTGGAAGTGGGTTATCTCCTACTCTTGCAGTGTTTCTCTCTCACAGGTTTCTCCATGTTTGGAGCTGGTCTGACCGTGGGTTTATGCAATCTCTTCTGTGGGGTCTGTGTGGGCATCGTGGGCAGCGGGGCTGCCCTGGCTGATGCCCAGAATGCCAGCCTCTTCGTTAAGATCCTGATTGTGGAAATCTTTGGCAGTGCCATAGGGCTGTTTGGAGTCATCGTTGCTATCCTGCAGGTACCTGCTTATTGAGGCCACCAGGCTTGTGTGAGCACAAGGTCCCTGTCACTCTGGGTGCTYTCCAGCCCCAGGGAGACACACCTGGGCTTCAGCACAATCTTGTGCATTGGGATGGGGAGGCTGCTCACAAGATTTGGGATGGCACAGCTCTTCTCACAGCATACTGTGCCTATTCGCAGCATTGTGAAGCCTTTTGATGGCCCCTCTGAGCCGCTGTCACCTAGAGTGTCACCTTGGGTGCCYCTTGTGTGATGCTTATGGCTTACCAGTGGGACTGATAAGCTGTCTGCRGCTTCTGGATGGTCCTGGGGTGCTTGGGTGGGACTGGAGTGCTGGGCTGGGGTTTGTGGGCCACAACCTAACCTCTCTTCWTTTTCTTTCTTTCTAGACATCTAAAGTAAAAATGGGCTGAGCCCTCTTGCACTCAGCCTGTTCCAGCCCGCCCCAAGAGGTTCTGTATATACTTATTTAATGTTTCTATACTTGATTGGGGTGGGAGATTCCTGGCGTCGGGAGCAGGAGCCTGACTGCGTAGAGCCCCGTCCTGCAGATCAATCGGCCCTTTGGAAGAAAGAAATTTCTCTGTGTGAATTCTGCCCCCAGCAGTCTGGCCCAGCCCATTGGGCCCTGCTGCTGCCCATCCCCGGTGTGTAGAATCGACCATCAGTGCAATTCTGTGTCAGTGAAATAAATATGGTTCTCGTCCAAGAATGCAGCTCTTTCTCTGCCCTGCAGGCCAGGGAGGTTTGCAGAGAGCAAGTGCTGCTTTGGGCTGCCCCAGTGGTCAGAGGTTCCTTTCTGTGCCTCTGACAAAATCCCTGTCCTGCTCCAGGAGCCTGGTGATGTCCTGTCTGCGTGGGGTTAATTCTGTTGTGTGCTCTGTCTGAGCTGTGGGAACACATGGAGCTGTGCCTTGCTGCCTGGAGCAGGTAGAAGGCTGTTGGAACAGGCAGCAGGCAGCTCCAAGTTGCCTGTGCCAGGTCCTAGCAGCTCAACATGAGCCCAACACAAACTGCTTTGGGTCTTTCAGCTCGCATCCAGGTGATTTCGTACAGCTGGGGGTGTCCATGGTGTCCATACCCCCATTCTGCAGCTGGGGACCACCAGAAGGGCAGACRAGTGATGTTTTTGCCCCTTGAAAGGATGTCCTTCTGCCAGCAGCTCCCTGGTGTGACTGTTGGCTGCATATGGGGCTCTTCAGTCTGCAGTGCCCCTCTGTCCAGGGGGCCCTGGCAGTGGTCCCAGGGGTGGGGACGCTTTGTGCTGGCTCTGTTCCCTTTCCCTGGCTGTGCTGAATAGTGTGGGGAAGCTGGCTGTGGACAGCTGGACCTGCAGCTCATCTGCTGCCTGGGGGAAGGGAAGAACAAGGTCCTTCTGCTTGTGYTCTGCAGAGAGCTGGGAGTTGCTGCCTCTGCTGTCTGCTATATCCAGCACAAGGCCCTTGTCCTGCTCTGCCAGCAGTACGCCTTCAAAGAGAACACTGATCTTSCAGTGCAGTGTCAGAGCAGATGCACACCTGGAGCTGCATCTTCCCTGGTGGATGCAACGGGCTGGGGCAGCAGTGAGGGTGCTGGAGCCTCCTGATGCTTACCCCTGAACTAGGGCAGCTGCCTCTGGAGCGCCCTCTGAGATCTGCTGGTCTCCTGCCTCTGTTCCACATTGTCCTATGAGTTTTGGGACTGCAGTGTATTTCAGCCCTGGTGCATGGCGATTATGGGGGAAAACCAAGCCACTACCCCTACTAGCTGTGCTGGCTGTCCCCTGGGGCTAGTGGCTCTCACAGGAGCAGTGTGTGCCCTGTGTAGTGGCAGGACACAAACTGGGCCCTGCCARTTGGAAGAAAGAGTGTCAGGTGTGGGCAGATTTTTGCCTGTCCTGCATGAGAACTGTACCCCATTGCTGCTGTTGCAGGCTGGAGACATCTGAAGCCTTTGGGAGCTGCAGAACCATCTCATCAGACCCACASCAATCTCCGCAAGGAGGTGCCTGGGGTTGGAGAGGTGGTGCTGGTGTTAGAGAAGCTGCTTTATGGGTTATTCATCTTCCTGGTCAGCAGCTGTCTTGAAAGACTCACCCACTTGTCTTTCAGGGATGGGCCTTGCCCTGCCCTGCTCTGCCCTGCCCTGCCCTGCCCTGCCCTGCCCTGCCCTGCCCTGCCCAGACAGAAATGCTTCTGCTGTCAGAAATGTGCCTCAGTGAGATGTTTTTCCTTTCTTCCGATCCTGCCTATCACAACTTTGGCAAGGGAATGGGCTCCAGAGTTGCCCACAGGCCCATTTTAAGGATATGAGACCCATCAGGGCTCGTCTCAGGGTGACCAGCAACCTGCCTACCATAGCCTGCGGTGATAAGGTGAGCACGCCCTGTGCTCATCCTGCTCTAGGTGTGTGTGCTTGGGTTCCAGGACTTGGGCTAAACACCTGCTGCTCAAGCAGAAAAAAAGAASCTTGAGCAAGGCTCCAGGATCATACACCTTGTCTCATTTAGAGRCAGCAGCAGCGGGAGTTAAAAGATATTTTGGTAACCATGTGTAGGTATTGATGAGGAAAATGCCACCTGCTGAGGAGCCAAACCAAGAGCTGGAGGCAGAAGTTGGACTGCTTTCAGCAGGGCTTGTTTGCAGGGGTGGAGCAGGGCTGGGCTGGTAGGTGCCATTCTGTTCTCTTCTGAAAGGTTGGTTGCTGAAGAACTGCTGAAGGGAGTGGAAAATCCTTCGCTCGGGTGAGCAGCCAGGAACTGGAGGAAGAGAGCCCTCAGGGAGAGGGGTTGCTCTAAACRGGCACGAATGCTGGGGAAGGGGGCTGAGAGGTTGACGGGGTGGCAGGAAGGGAAATGTTGCTTACAGTGCGAAAACTACTTGTGGTGGGCCAAACTTGCKGTGGGACTAGACCAAGATCTTGCAGTGATGCCGTTGTGGTAAGGACAATGAGAGTCCCGGTGTTTCCTAGCAATGAAACATTGAAAGGGAGGTGTGGGGGGRAAGGAACCACAAATAGGTTGCAACGGATGCTGAACCAGCACCAACGGCCGGGAGCGGGRGAGTCGCCGCAGGTGGGTCCGTGGAAGCTCTGCCTCCCGGCAGCGGAGAGCAAGGGAAGGAAGAAAGGCCGGGACACCCTGGGCTGTGTCCCGGAGGTGCTTGGAGRGTCCCCGGTGCCGCGCCTGGGGACAAGGGCTGAACGTCCCGTGGCGGAGCCGAAGGCATTTCGCACCCCGCGGGGTGTCTGCATCCGTGATCCGCGTCTGTGGGCCCGGTGCCCGCAGGACTGCCCTCCCCGCCCGGCGGCTCCGGGGCGGGCGGTGGTGGCGGCCCCGCCC